CTACCCGAAGATTTTTTGCAATGTAGGAAGTGGTTTTGATCTTTCATCTAGAAATCGACGACTTGTGAAAAAAATCGTCCGCAAGAAAATTCGTATCAACGAAGGAACCACCACACTTATTCCTTACGTTGCGTTTTTTATATTAATGTTTTAAAAATGCAGCTAGTTCACTTTGCGTCATTATCGGGACAGTGTTTCAATAGAAGATGCAACCAGTATTCAATAACGAATGTTTTCATCAGAAGGCGAGATTTTTTAATTTCACCTTCAATACGATGATAAGCTTTCCGATACGTTTTATTTATATGCCACTACTCAAAACAGCACCCAGCCCTGTTTTAACTCTGATCACGTTCTTTCAGTAAGATAAAACTTGACACTCACCAACCAATTGAATAATAATAATTCGAGCTTCGAAAGTTACTTTGTTCATCGGAGGATCACGTAATCTTTATTTACCTTGTATAGCGTGGAAATATTCTCCCCTTAACTTACCCATTGCCATGTAAGAATGTTATCGATGGCTGAATTTTGCTTGACAAATAATGGAAGTGACAAAAGCAAGATTTTGAGGAGTCAGCTCCTCCTTCTTTCCGATGACGAGAAATGTTTTGTCTCTTAAAGCGATTTTCGGACGTAGACTGAAAGAATTTCCCAAATTATGGAATTTTGAATTTATCTCTGATCAATATCTGGTGTGTTTTTTTCAAGTATACCATTTTTTTTTATGAGACTGTTTTCTTCCCAGATCGAAGAGATCATACACTCATTTGGCCAAGAGGTATTTTTGTGCCCTCGAACAGTCTTTAACATCTGGTAAGCTTATGAGCTTCTTAGTCCTAAATTTTGTTGGATATCCCTCAAAAGATTACAATGAAAATGGGTTGCCCTGAAAAGGGTTTTGGGCGCGGATTTTGACTGAAGTTCGTATTTTGACAGAACTTCATGCCAGACGTCACTATCCAAAATTTCAACCCCCCCCCCCCCTCTCTCTCTCTCTCTCTCTCTCTCTCAAATAAAAGAAATTTAGGAGGGGAGCTAAAAACTCCATCGCATATTTTTCCAAAACTTTTGAAAATCTTTACACCCGGTTTAGGTTGAATTACTACGTAAAATATCCTCTTAGTTCTCTCTATAAAATATTGAAAACATTTCGGAATTGAATCATCATTAATATAAACTTCGAAGGATTCTGCCTTTTTCTATTTCACTCGAGGGGAAGTGTCCCCTCCCGGACTCTCTTCCCCACCCGGTGACTGACGCTGCGCTGTGCTGAACGGTTCAGCCTGAACCTTTCCCCTACGTCTGACCGTTCCCCACTCCTCTGTCAATCGAACCATATGCCACCGCTTNTTCTCTCTATAAAATATTGAAAACATTTCGGAATTGAATAATGGTATAAAAATAAATGTGAAACTTGGCAGGTTCCCGTTTTTTTTTATTTTTATCAAATTCGGATTCGTTATTCTGCATTCAATCTTCGTGAAAGTAGTGTTATTCGCATGGCGAGGAAAAGTTTACGTAAGGAGTCACACTATTTCCAATTGTCATGCAATTGATGGCTTTTCCTGCCCTCATAAGGCGAATATAACGTCGCCATAAGGGTATATCTCAATATTTGCATGAGTCCCAGAGAGCATGGATTTCCATGTAAAGCAGAGCTCACGTGGAAATAATTGAGATACGCCCTTATGTCAAAGGGGCGACGATAATTGGGTGCGTCAAGTAGCAAAAGTCCCGAAATAGTATGCTTCCAGGCCTTAGTCCGCTCCTTTTGTTGGTCCCAGTCGAAAGAGCGAAGGCAAAACAGTATGTAACTCCTACCTTGCTCTCAGAGCCTTGAATTTTGCAGCGAATATTACGTTAATTTAAATGGGGAGGAATCATGCCGTGCAAAAAGGATGCGTAATAAGTGCTGTTAAATGTGAATTCTTACGTTATTTTCCTCAAAATGAGTAGGGTGGGAGGGGGACCATCTGGTTGCTTGTAAGCCTGTAAATACTTACCAGGGTATTTGCCCGGAATAGATACCCGGGTATATTTTACAACACTGATCCCAATACACAATCGCATTTTGGCTATCCAGTTTGACTCAAGCTGTCACATCAACGTAAAGCATCTTCACTTGACTTGACAAGCACATGGGTTGCAATCGAAGTGAAGATAACGAGATATGATATGATAGATGTCAGCACTCTTGTCTTTTACGTCCTCTTGGTCTTAGTTGCTTCCATGCTCTAGTTTCGAGTTTGCAACGCGAGCTCCGAGGTTGATCGGATTCCATCCAGTTTTGCTAACTCTCTCAGAATCCGAATAACTGCGCGGAAGCTGTGCTTATCAATGTGAATTCTCCTTTATCTTTGTTCTGTATCTTTGTAAGTACCTCTCTGACTTATCATTTCCAAAGGCCAAACATGAAAAAACAAATATTGAGAATTCAAAAGTGCAAAATGTTTCGATGCCCACATCGTGTTTTTTGTTATAGCTGGAGGTAATGGAGTCCTTACCTGTCGCACGGGCCATTGGTCCAATGGGCAGTTTTCCGAAAAACACGATGGTGGCCCTAATTTTTACTTTACATTAACTTCCAAGCTACTTTTAGATCAACCATCTATCTACCTAAATAAAGTCGTTGGAAGTTTCACTGTAACGCTCATTACTGTAGTCCTACCGGACCGATTTCGACAAAGTTGATTCCGGTGAAAGCTCCTGGCGTTCTTACGCTCGCAAAACTGTCAAACTTCTAATTTTTTTACCCTCTACCGCCTGAGAATCCTGAGATTCTCCGAGAACCAAATCAATCCCCCCACCCACCTCCTTCCTCTAGTTCCCGAGAGTCGGCGTTGTAATGCCTAATGTAAGCGGTCTACCGGGGCGATTTTTACGATGTTTGGGCCGACTGGAAGTTTCAAACGTCTACATTCCCGCAAATACACGAAACTTTCCCGTATACCAAATCTGTATAAAACGGAGGAAATTGCAAATTCACCTCTCCATTCTAAACATACGATCGATTGAGTCACGACCCTCGCTGCATCCACGGTTGAACTCCGACGCTGTCCTGATGAGACTGTATCCGCAATTATCCCGTCAAAGCAGGGCGGGGCAATGATATTGGGTAGTCCTCGGTCCTCTTAGTTGTTAAAGTCCACATTCCAACAGTTGAGGTATCCGATGCGTTGCTGAGCTCAGCGAAAGTGTTGTTGAACGTTTTTTGGAGTTATCTGATGACTTAAGTACCTTTATAGGGAGAGTATGGTATGGATCGCCGTTTGAACGAGTATGGCCACTGGGCCCCATGAAAGGGCGTAGGTCCAAAAAATGGCGGCGTTTTGTTTTGGTTTATGCGGATGAGAGGAGGGTCACTGCCAACTTTTGACGGTTATCACCAACCGCACTTGCTGCCAACCTTATTACATCTGAAATTATTTATCTTGAAAATTGCTCACGATTAGCCGTAAAACTATGTAAATACGTGGAATAGAGCATTTGAGTGCAGTTCTCGTTTCGATATGCAAATACATTTGAAATACATTTTGAATAATTTTTTATCTATATTTACTTACAGATTCCGCCATTTTTGGATCTTAGAAGGCTCCACTCAGCCTAAGAGAACTGATTTAATCAGAGTTGGTAACCTAAGTGGTCATACTCTCCCTGTTAAGGTATTCTACCGATGACCTGTCATTTTGTAAACAGAAGCTGCCATCTTGTCAGCGAAATCGATCAGCGCTCAGCAATGGTCCGAGGCCCGCGGCGTCGCTGATCAATTTCTCTGACAAGATGGCGGCTTTTGTTTACTAACAAGTTTACGTCATCGCTGGCGAAAATGGCGGATTGACGTCATTTCGCTGACTTTAATTATTAAGTTCAATAATGCATATTTTTTCTATCTCGCCAAGCCAGGGACGACTCCTACAGGACCGTTGTGTGTAGCCCGTCGCCGCATAACCTTGCGTAGGAGCCTCGTTAACTCAGAGGATCCTTCCTCCCGAACCTCCACCCATCCATCGCTCCAATAGTGAGATTAAGCCTATAATTGAAAAAAAAAAGCGCCCGTAGGGCGGCTGAATTGTTGAAAAATTAGTAAATTTTTGACGTTTTCCGACCCCTTTCGTCGAGGATGGGCGTGCTTGTAAATAGGTACCGCAGAGTTAAAAAACTGATTAATGGAAGATGTCTGTGATTCCACGGATTTTTTGTGAGGTCCAATATCTGACAATAGCAGTCAATTGCGATGATCCTACGCGAGGTTGCAGCACTAGTAACGGCTCACGGATTTTTAAATTGGCTCTTACGGGAGTCCAGTCCTATAGAAATCGTCCCTGCCCAAGCCCAGCTATGTTTTTGAGCACTCTAAAAAGATTTTGGCAGTGCAATCGACACAGGGGTTGACATCCAGGCGTCGATTTAATGCACTCATCGTATCTTTATCCGAATTCTTGTTCAAATAGTTTGCAAAAAAGCCGGAAAGGCCTTACCGAAGGCTAACTTTTGTTTTTATAAGTGGTTTGTCCTCCCCTCGCCCCTAGAACTGCCACAGAATATATAGGCTATGAAGCCTATATATTCTGTGGAACTGCCACCTCGTCACCTCAAGTGCATAGAAAAACTTTGGGAAAAGACGAGAAGCGTGTGTTTTCAAAACTTAACTACTTATTTCCTCTAAATCGTCTGAAAATAGGTCTGTTCAATTTTTGGAAATAATTGCGCTTCAATCCATGCTTCTGGAAATCAATTTCTCCTAAACTCATTTACTCGGAAAGAAATTGCTGTTGAATTAAATTATTTTATCTTATTCCCCATCTCCACGGCATGGAGTAATTAGGCTCGCACAGTGAGCTGTATGCTGTAAGGGATTTTGCAGAGCGCAAACAAAGACATTTTTGCATGCTACTTAGGCCGGCTGGAATTTAAACTGCGTGAAATATGTTACTCATAATAATAGCCTTTTGTAATTATTTTGCCCTTTTCAGAGCATCCATATTTCTATGTTTCAGGTAGTGAAAGTCCTTCGTTCAACTTCATGGAGCATCACGATTTGCCTAACGAAATCTCTGCTCCGTATGAGGTCCCTCAATTCCCCATCGAGCAAATTGAAAAGAAACTTCAGATCCAGCGACAGCTCAATGCCTCGTAAGTGAATAAGTCACACATATATCTAATCCGCTTTCCAAGTGCTCTCCAACACCCTGCGAGATCCAGCAGTCACTGTGCCCTTTCCTATACCAAAGCCCCCTAGGGAGTTAGCACTCCCTTACCTATTCCTTAAATATCCCCTGTCACCATCATATGACCGCGCGTTCTTTTCGTCTCCTCCTAGCAGGAACTCAATCAAGCATTTTTCTGGCAGCCTTTCCTCCTTGGGGAACATGATCATTCTAGCCTTGCCGTTTAATGAGTCGTTGAAAATGACATCAAGTACGATGTCATTCTCAACTATTGATTCTATTTTCTTCAACTTCAACTTTAGATCTCTCGAAAGTAGCAGATCACAGAGGATTTTATTCATAATCACTGTAGGTACCCTTTCTCCTCAGGGTGAGAAGCTAACCCAATCCAATTGTCTATTCGTACGAACCGTGAGTCGGGGAGAGGCCACCTCTCGCCTAGAAAAATGAGATTGCCACTGAACCCTCGGTTGGAATCGTCAATCTTGATTCCTTTCAGAGCAACAGCCGCAGTCCGCATATTAAGAGTAGTTTTAAAAAGAAAGTATGGCCACAAAGTATCATTGGAGACCCTTAGGATCAAAGAGAAGGGTAGCAGAAAAAAGGATCAGTCGAAAATGTTCTATCGTATAAATGTCCAGTTTAATCATGCCCATGTCAATATCTCCGGTAAACAATATGGCCACTATGAGCATAGGTCCACGTTACAAATGTTCAGCATCATCCGTCAGCAGCCAATGTCCGATGGTAAAAATTGAATGCTACGTCCGATGTACTCGTATTCAACTTAGAACTGAACAATTACTTTGAATTTCTCAAGTTTTTACCTTCTAAGTCCTTCACAAGATTCATTTACCTACTAAATCAAGCTTCTAATTTTAAGTTTCTCAATTTTTAAAAACATAAATAACTACTTTGTTGTAATTTTTTCTATTTTTGTATTACACTTAAAGTAAATTGTATACATTTCCCTCGGTAAGCTTTCATTGACAACGGGTATCTTTAACAGTTTTTCCACCGTGTCGCGTCTTCTTCGTAGGTCATGTTGTATGGTTTCCGCTCTTCGTTGATCAGTCGGGTGTCGACGGCTGATCAGGTGCTCTAATCTCTTTCTTGAATGATGAGAATTAATTGCCGCTCGCTCAAAGCCATTTGCCTTAGGAGCGAAAATTACATCAATTTCCTCTGATAAGTTTATTAATCTCTATTGCAGGTATATATCTATTATAATCGTATTATACATGTAGTTCCTGATATTTTCTCTTTACTAGTAGCAGTAGTATTCTACCAGGCTCACCGGTAAGGCGCCCCCGATGAGAGTTCCAAAGGAAGGTGGAGGTTAGGAAAGCCAGAAGAAGTTTGCAAAGAGCGGAGAAGAAAGAGAGAACGAAGGAAAAATGTTAGTTGAAGAAATTGAAGGAGGAATATATTAGAACGATGACTGAAGCACCTCAATTTCTCAGCCATTTATGCACGAAATTCCTTGAACATTTCAAGATCTTATCTGTAATGTGTCCCGAACATATTGGTTACCTTCAAAGATCGTCCTGACGATCTTTGCCAACGATCTTTGAAAGGCAACAGTCAACAGTTCCATCGATGAGCCTCTTTGAAGCCCCTAGTTTGTGCGTGGGCTAGACGTATACTGGCGGGAAGCAGTGCAGTGCTCTCCGGCTGCACCCTTATTCTATCGGCCCATTAGCTCGGCTAATAGGCCGATGTACATTTACGTCACCACAGACATGACTTAATTTGAAGGTGGCTTTCTCGTCTCAACGGTCTGTTTTTCCCTACGCTCGGCGCAGGCGAGGTGGGTCATCAGTCGAACGAACGCGGCGCTTGTGAACGGCTGTGTGTCGGAAAAGGCTTCGCGGGCGCCCAGAGCATCGTGTCTCACCACTTTGCCTAACGCACGTCGCACAGCTCTTGTCATGCCCCCGCTGCCGCTTTGCGTCTCAGAATTAGTCTCAGACTTGCCATTTTGGAGCCTCAATCGTTCGGATATGTTCGGCTGCGCTCAGGATTCCAAGAAATGGGTCCTGAAGAACATCCAGTTCACGAGGTACTCTAAATTTCCAACGCAGTGTGCTAGAGGTGGAAAGTGTTCCGAGTTTCACAAGAACCGTGCCCGGAAAGCCGGAAGATGCGGTGTCAGCTAAATTTTATTATTCGGTGTTTTTTATTTTTGGATGGCTTGGGCACAACAAGCTTTTGAAGTTGAGCATTCGGTGTGCCATTTTCGAGAAAAGCAAGGTTGTAAAATGAATGTTTCATCAATTCTATCCGTATTATATTGTTAGATTGTTATCACACAGAAATGAAAAAAAAATGTCAGTAAGCAGTAATGTAGTAGTCGTATTTAGTAATGTAAGGGGATAATGGCGATAGTGCCGGTTTCCGCGCCGCGCGCTGGCCAAAAAGACGGAGCCTCCAGCGTTGGTCGCGTCTAGAGTACCTGTATAGCGAGAGTATGGACAGATGTGAAACTCCGAAAATCCATCAGGCCTTCACCGATGCTTCTGCGAATAAAGTTAGGGCCCAGAAATGCAGCCAACCTATGAATTTCAATTATCCAGAAAGATTTACTAATACTATTGTTACGAACCGTCGTTTATTAAGCACGTGTTTGACTCCGTTTTTGCATAAATTTACTCAATTTTCCGGAAGAACGCTCATTTATGTACATTCTTGGGCATCTCGGTTAGAATTGGAACCTGCAGACTGGCAGTGAAATTTTGTGCGTTGGAAGTTGGTTAGAAGGGTGGCTGCACTTTTGGGCCCTAAGCCCTCCATGAAGCGATCTGTCCATACTCTCGCTATACAGGTACTCTAGTCGCGTCAACTGCTTCGGACCAACAGAGCTGCAGGGTCTCATATGTGATTGAAAAGGTGGTGTGAATATCAAAAAATTCACTCTACAGCCTCGCTTCTCTCGAAATAAGCACCATAAAAAACTTAATTCTAATAACTCACTTTGCTCTATATGTGACGAAGAACATCCAACCAAATAGTAAAGCAATTTAATCGCCACCTAATTTTTGATTTATCATGCTGGGTCATTTCGTCTTACTTTGTAGAAGATATGGTCCAATATTTTCAATGTTCCAAACAATGTTTTTTTGTTTTGTTTTACATAATGAACTAACAGTATCTAAGCAAAAAGTATCTAAGCAGTTGAAGAATACGCGTAAACAGCTACGCTGAATTAATTTCCTTGCGATTTTGAAGTATTCAGAATATAGTTCGTAGAAGCCGAACACGCAACCCACACTCAAAATATGTGTGAGGAATGAATTTTTCAGCAAGTTTAAATGAAGTTTTCTCTTGTGCTTTCATGGTTGTCGCACCACATAGACAAAGCCTTGAAAATAAGTGTTCCTGCTGTGAGTTTAACTGCTGCGAGAAACGCATTGCTGCGCTTCAAAAAGCTCAAAGATTTTTTTCAGTAAAAAATACTTCTTCAGTAAAAAAGACTTTTAAGACTTCAATAAGTCTTAAAAAGAACGTTTCTTATTGGCCTGAATCTTATGACGTCATTTGAGGCGAAGACATGGTTTCAACCACTTTCCATCCAATGCAACATGGCCGCCATACAACTCAAATCATGAACGAACACTTTCATTCAAAAATAAAAAAGATGAAAATATTTGCTGCGAACAAGGATAATATTACACGTACGGTCAGATTACATGACATCTCGTTCAGTGTTCTCCCTTCCCCGGGCGCCATGCGTCAAATGCGCCTAAAAATCGGGCCTTGGCGCCTAAAAATTGGGGGGTTCGGCCATCGTGGCGCCTAAAAAATTTGACAGATATAACTCGCAATCAGGAAGCAGCAGCGGTATAGCGATGAAGCGCTCTCTATCCGCACCGTTCGCAGCGCCGCCCGAGAGCTTTAGATTCGCCATGACCCGTATGAAATTAATTTGGCTCCCAAAAAATAGTAGATGGCTCCTAAAAATTTGGCTTCCCCGCCGAGGTGGCGTCTAAAATTTTAGGGGGAAGGCAGAACACTGATCTCGTTGCAGTTGCCCTGAAAGTAAATAAACAAATACGAATGAAAGGATGTAGGCACGGGGATTGATTCTGTTTGTGACGACACGAAATCGTCGGCGCAATATTTTTTCTGTTAATAACGGGCTTCGATCTTCTGCAAGTTTGAAAGTCTTTTTCTCGGCCAAAATGCAATGATTTTGCAAACGGACCAATGCAGGCATTCTCATCTTTTCCGTACCTACTTTCCGAAAACGAAGTTTAAAAAAATTGTGTAACCGCCTCATTATGTTTTCGACTTATAATTTGTACTAAATTGATCCTTCTCCTGCTGTGATGAGCCAATGCGTTCATTGTCAGTTCCTGCATGGTACTGCCCTCATAACGGTTTAAGTCCATATTTAGTAGGTATTTTCTGTGCAGTCAATGAACCGCGGTGAGTCAAAGTCGAATGAACAGTTCCTCATCAATCTCGCAGAAAGGAAATAAGAATTGATAAAAAATATTGATAAAAATAAAAAATAAACGTAAATGGGAACAATCATCTCACCCTTTCATTCACTGCCAAGGGTGATAAGCTATTGATAAAAGATATCCTTCGATGTTTGTAGGGCTGCGCAGGAAGGTAATCCCGTTCCCGAAGCCCTAAAAATTGGCGAGATGCTGTTATGCCGTCACTTTTACACTCTTGTATAGACGATTCTTACTTAAAAATGAACCGCGCTCTATAAAACCTACCAGCGAATATCCTTCTCGGCATCAACGGAAGGAAAATAGATCCAGAAGAACAATAAAAAATATGGGCCAAGAGGGGCGCCTCCTGGCCGCTACGGTTCCCCACTTTGCGAGGTACTTCGCGCCTTTTATGTGCACGTTTTAATAGAAAACTTGTATTTATCATGTTGATGAAATTAAATAAATCAAGTAAATAGAAAACAACAATACTATACATGGTGGGAATACTCAAAAAAGAAAATGTGTAAAATTAACAAAACGCAGTAGTGTATCAGTGTATTTTTTTCAGAAAATTCATTAAAAACAACTATAATTGACAGTGAAAGCAAAAGGATACTTGGGATAAAAAAAGAAGTTTTTGAAGGGACCGGTAAAGAGTGAGAAAACAAGGTGGTACAAAAGAACGTATGGGATATTCAAGTCGCAAAGTTGCAGAGAAAACTGGCCTGGTGTTCGTATATGGTCGGAAAAGAAAGTAGCGGAAAGGCGGAAGGGAAAAAATCGTTATTTTGAAGAAAACATATCAGATTCGTCTTTCTCGTCTTAAAAAACCTCCGGATACCGAGTTTCAGATAAATTCATCGGAATAAGCTGAATTGCTAAATGCCCGCCATTTTGAAAAAGCTTCAATGAACTCGAAAAATAAGACCAGTTTTGTTTTTTCCATCCCCAAATATCCTACAGCGGCACACTTGCCATTTTTTCGCCATTTTGAAAAAATATAGCTTTTTCGAAAAAATCTCCTCAGATTAGTTTTTCTCGTCTCGAAAAACCTGCGGATACCTACTGAGTTTCAGATAAAACCATCGACAAATAATAGCTTAAATGCCAGTCTCCCTTCTTTCTTTTTTGCAAGATGGCGACTCACGGATTAGACAGTTTTTTTTTTTTCCTCTTTTGGACGAGGTATCACAAGAGGGGTAATTGCCATGTGAAAAAAATAAGTCGGGGGGTGCCTCTCCCCCCTCCCAAAATTTTGGATATGCCTGAAAGTAGCTCTCTTTGACCTAGGAACTTTCCCCAGTTTCGTCCCAAAAGCTCCAGTAGGGAAAATATTAGAAGAGGGGGGGGGATACGGCGACTTTTGAAACACCCTGTATGTATGTCTATGTATGGTTGGTTGGTAGATACGTTTATTTGGTGCTTTTAACATCTGAGCCATTAACACCTTAGAGGAGAGATCAAAATAGTTTTATGGTTGGTTGGTAGATACGTTTATTTGGTGCTTTTAACAGGGTGTTCGAAAAGTCCCCTCCCCCCCTCTAACTTTTGACCTAATTGAGGTAGAGATTTGAAACTTAGAGGGTGTTCCTAGATCAAAGGGAGTTACTTTTTGACCCCCCCCCCAAAATTTGGGGGGGGGGGGGGNCGGACCCTAACTTTTAATTTTCAAATGGGAAGACCCCCTTTGTGATACCTCGTTCAAAAGAGCATAAAAAAAAGAAAATTTTTCGCGCAAACCCGAAGTCATTATCTCAAATCGTTTCAAAATGGCGGCCGGTCAAAGTTCCAAATGGCCGAAAATTGGCACCTGTGCTATTTGCACATGGATTTGCTCGAAACTCGGTATCTGAGGGTATTTTGGCACGAGAAAAACGAATTTGACGTAAGATTTTCAAAAAAACCCTAATTTTTCAAAATGGCCGCCGGTTTAGGCTCAAAGTGGCCGAAAATTTGACAAACTCGAGTTTTTTGCCAATGGATTCACCTGAAATTCGGTATCTGGGGGTAGTTTGACCCGAGAATAACGAATTCGACGTTAGATTTTTAAACAAACCCTAATTTTTCAAAATGGCCGCCGATTAAACTTCAAAATGGTCAACAATTGGCAACTATGACTTTTTGGCGATAGATTCGCCTGAAACTCGGTGTTTGAGGGTATCTGGGTGGGAGACGAACGAATTCGACGTTATTTCACCGAGTTTCAGGCGAATCTATCGGCAAAAAGTTGAGGTTGCCTATTGTTGACCATTTTGAACTTTAATCGGCGGCCATTTTGAAAAATTAGGGTTTTTTTGAAAATCTAACGTCAAATTCGTTTTTCTCGTGCCAAAATACCCTCAGATACCGAGTTTCAAGCAAATCCATGTGCAAATAGCACAGGTGCCAATTTTCGGCCATTTGGAACTTTGACCGGCCGCCATTTTGAAACGATTTAAGATAATGACTTCGGGTTTGCGCGAAAAATTTTCTTTTTTTATGCTCTTTCGAACGAGGTATCACAAAGGGGGTCTTCCCATTTGAAAATTAAAAGTTAGGGTCCGTAACCCCCCCAAAGGGGGCCCCCTAAAATTTTGGGGGGGGGGTCAAAAAGTAGCTCCCTTTGATCTAGGAACACCCTCCAAGTTTCCAATCTCTACCTCTATTAGGTCAAAAGTTACAGGGGGGGGGGGGAGGGGACTTTTCGAACACCCTGTATGAGCCATTAACACCTTAGAGGAGAGATCAAATTATGTAGGGGTGGTTGTGTGTATGTATGGTTGGTTGAGTTAGTTAGTTAGTAACATTTTAAGACATTCAGCGTCTCAGGCTATTAACGTCTTTACAGATAAGAGAGGTGAAGAGTTTCAGGTTGATGTATGCATGGTTGGTTGATGGATGTATGTATGTATGTATTTATGTATGTTTTTTGTCGTATGTACGTATTAAAATTATACTAACTAACTAACTAACTAACTATGTATTTTAGCCAGAGTGAGATTTTTTTCAGTTCTCATAACTCTGTGCGCCAATGAATTTTTAAGTTCCTTGAAACCAAACTTTCAGGGTCTACAGTTTCCCAAAAATACTTTTAGATTTAATCGGAGTACTATAATCAGTTTTCGCACTGCAAAGGGCCAAAGTGGTGGGAGGTTTCTATAGCCCATATCATATGATCAAAATGGAGCTCTTAAAGGGGGGTCACGCGACCCTCCATTGCCCTCAGAGGTTGTTGGCTGGACAATCTTTGAGGGTCACTTGACCCCATGTGACGCCACTTTGAGAGCTCTACTTTGATCGTATGGAACGGGCTTATGAGACCCGATGTATTCAAGGGATGTTGTTTTGAGAGACTGGAAAATAGTCAAATTTTAAAGAACATGTAATTAAAATTTATATGAAATATTTTCTAGGGGGTATTTTTCCTGAGTGTTGTGAGGTACTTTAATACATTCTGAAGAGTGCATGTCAGGAATCCTATAATAATACAATATTCAGAGAAATACGATTAATTCGATTTATTCTAAGAGCGTTTTTCAAATGTTCTGCTGGGAATAGGTATTCTTATTCATGGTGTGTCTGCGGAGTTTTGTTTTATCGAAGTACTTTTTTGTTTCAGTGCAACCAGGGATTTAGAGGAGAAACGAAGTCATTTCGATGGATTGTCTCAAGCTGACGATACTGAGGGGCCATCTAAGTTTGATGAGCATGATTTTGTGCCTCATTTCCAAAGAGTTAACATAAGTGGGGAAGATACCAGTGGGGTAAGTGAGGCTTAATTTTTTTCTCCTGATAATTTCTATTTTAGTTCACCAACATGTTTTAAATACAGATCAAGGATCTCACTGATTGAGGGTGCTACAGACCCTATTTGGTCGTCCGACCCAGCTTTTCAGGAGATACAAGGAACCGTATAAAAAGGAGAGGATGCTATGTTGTAATACTGTGTATTAAACTAATTATCTCTCCAAGAAAAGACCTTATTGAATCTAGAATACAACACTCTCAAAACTTGTGTCGTGTAAGATGGGAGTTGTCAAACTTTCCTTCTGTAAGTGATTGTGCTAACTATAGAGAGATCTAAAATTGATTGAGGGCCAACATTGCGTTTTTATCTGTAAAATAGTGTACTGCTGACAACAGCCAAAATAAAAAAAGAATGCCAACTGATCTTCTGGGCGCTCCTGATAGTTTAAGCTCCAATAAATTTTACATGTTCCTATCTTTGATATTTTCTCCTATGCACCATATACTACTTTTTTCCCTATAGGTGCCCCTAGAAGACTTGCAGCAAGCATCTGGTAAACTGATGGATGCTTTACATATCCGTGAATGTTACATGGCAATATCACATCAAAGCTTTCCATCAATGACTTCTAGGTTCCTCCGTTCTGTTAATGCTGGTGTTCCACAGCCTCTCATAAAAGTAATACATGAAGATAAGAGAACAGTGGAAGGTAATCCATTTTTATCCTTAAAATCTGATCTGATTTGAGTGATTTTCAAAAACCAGGCTGGCCCGATCATTTGTTGGGCAGGACATGCTTCCTACTCTTACACTCTCTGGAGATACTATAGTTCAAGAAAGTGGCCAAAAGCTCATGATGCAAAGTTGGCAGAATGAGCTTGTTTATTAACTCTTGATTCTGTCATTTTTTTGCATGGGGTGTTTTGTTGTAATAAAGAAATTTTTTGCTGAGATTACCAGATAAAAAGGACAATGTTTGAATTTCGACTCATTGTCCCGAAATTCACATTTCCACACATACTCTCTCACTTTCCTGGGTGAAATTGATACCTACTTTGTACATCATCATCATCATCATCATCGGGTCTGTCTTTATCTTTGGCCGGAGGCAAACGAAGAGCTCTAGCTTATGAAAAATGGCTCAAGAATCTAGATGAGCTTTTTGGAAAAGTCTCAAATTCACTCCTTACTTCATAATTTGCATAAGAAATTAGCGCTGTCAGGACTCTTCCATTAAATTCTTCACTCATTTTTTTACTTGGTAAAACTATTTACCACTACTATCAAAACTTATGAACATTTCTTTTCCTCCCGTAGTATATATTCATATTTTTCATTTTTAGTTCAATTCAGCCACTTTTCAACTCTTTCATCTCCTTATCTTCTTATTCTCCTTTGTATCAGAATGATGTGTATCACTATCACTGGATCAACAAGATAAGACAGATGTAAAACATCCACCCATCACAAGCCAAGTTTTAATCAAATGACCGCATACGTCATTACGACCATATAAGGACTTTAAAATCTAACTTCTTGGTCTTTTCCACTTTTTCAACCCTTATTGCACATTATGCGTTTCTGCTTCATTTCGCAATTTTATTCCAAGTTCTTTCTATTGTTTCTTCCAAATTTTAAAATATTAAACTCTTTGGACCGTTTGTTCAATCCGTTTCTTTTTCGTTCTTCCAGCTCTCCTGCATTCACTCAAAAACTTTCCAGCTATTTTATCTCACAACTTCTACCTCCTTAATTTTTCAATCTCGACCCCTAACAAGCACATTTTTGAGCTTTATGCTTCAAAAAGCCCAGTGCGGCATAGTCATAATTTGGAAGGGATGAGTCACCCCAGCTGAACAAGCAAAAAACTTGGAATGGCCGCCGTCATGTTTTGGCATTTTTAATTGAAAACAAACAAAGTAACAAATTATATTTATACAACATCTCAACTTTCCTGCTTCACTAGTTACGTTCAATTAAAGGAAGTGTTTTTTTGTAATTTGTTTTCATTCAAGAAACTGTGTCACGTGATGGCAACCAGTTTAAGTTTTGCATTAAGCCATGAAACTGGAGTTACTCATCAGGATGAAATAATGTATTTGCTGCATGAAGCAGGAAGCACAAAAATTCGTAAATTTCTTAAATAGATTTTAAAGTTGGCAGTGAATTTGAGACCTTCAAATCTGTGATGAGTTCATTTTGATGTCAGAGCCACTTACTATAAAAGATAGTACTTTTTTTTTGCTGCAGCACAAGCTTGTAACTGACCCATCGCTTCAGTATGAGTGTTTTACGGTCGCACTGGAAGGATTTTCAATTAAACCAATCCTTGAAAAGGCTCCCAGTTTTGTGATACAGTTAACCACTTGACAAGGTGCGAATTTAAGCATTATAACATATGTTTTCTCAACATAATTTCATTTTAGTAGAGCAAGAAACGTGCAAATGCAATCATTAAAAGTAAAGCCTAACCAAGGTATCAAAATTTTTCAATGCATAAATTCAAACTTCCTGCTCATAGAAAAAACAACAATCTTCTTGAGTCAAATCACACACTGAACTTCACCATTGCAGTCTTCATAGTATGAAAATTCGACAACCTCACTATCAGCTCTTCTGCTCAGCTATTACATGTCGTTTACACTTTGAACATCGCATGGGTGGAGAAAGGACATTGCATATTGAGAAACCTGCCAAAACTGTCGTAGTGTAAAACTTGATTTAAGTAGACTTTTGTTTTTCATTTAAGTAGGAAATTGGAATTTTTTGTAACCAATGCCAAATGGAATCGTTAATATCTTAGTCGGGAGTTACAGATATTTTAGGTCATTTTTGTCGTGCAAATCGTGTTCTACTCGAAATTTTAAAGAGTTAACCTATCAGAATGCTTAAAAGACCCTGTATAACACTCCTTATGGGAAAATGCACCACGATCGATTTTTTTTTTTTTTTATTGCATTCAATTCATTTCAAGATACTGATCAAAAGTCATCATTGCAGATTGCTCCAACTTTCTACGATACACCATTGTAGCACAATATGCCCGGAACGTTTCAATTATTCTACGATAAAGAGTCAGAAAGATTCCTCATATCAGCATTTGAGTGAACGGTCTGCTGTGTGTCAACAAGAAAATCAGGGGAAACCCAGCACCAAGCGGCAGTCTTATCTCGAATTCTGCACACCTTTTTGCTTGTCCGTCCTAATCAGATTCGTGAGGAGCATAAGAACAGGAAAGTCGGAGAAAAACAGTGAACGTCAAACGGACGAGAGTGGGAGGGAGATAGCCCCAGAGTAGGCAGGAATAGATAAGAAGATAGACACTTGCTACATTTTTCCTTATTCACATCAGACCTGTTTTCAAATGCCTCGTTCTTTTTGACTCTTTATCGCCGAATAATTGAAAGCGTTCTGGGTGTATAGTGCAAAAATGGTGCATCGTAGAAAGTTGGTGCAACGATCATTTTTGATCAGCATCTTGAGATGAATTGAATGCAATATAAAAATTAAAAATCGATTGTGGTGCACTTTCCCATAAGGAGTGTGCGGGGTCCATTTTACCTTGTTTAGTAGTCCATCTAAAGTTGCAACCTACACACACTCATATTTAACATAATTTACTAACATGGTAAGCGATAAGTGAAGCTACTATCATTTGTAATGCACTCTTCATATTTGGGTACTTGACCTCAAACTTCACAAATTTGCTTATTCTAGCAGAGATTTGTCATTTTGCTTTCTTTTTTTCAGAAGATTTAAGTAATGTTTCCGTTTCTGAAAGTAAGTGGGCATGAATGGGTGTGCATGTAGTTTGCGCTCACCAATGTGACTATGAAACCTGGAATTTTTCAATAACCTTTCTACTCTTACTAATTATTTTTATTGGTGATGCTCTATGGATAATCAAAAATGAGATTTGCTGTGCGTTTTGCTGTGCTGGACCGTACTCCAACCCTTCTCCCTCTCATACCTGTTGTCCCAACCCCGACTTCCAATTTACTGGTTTAAAAGTTGTGTCTGCCACAAATTCTCACACAAGTACGAATTTTATTTTTGCAACACGAAAAGAGTCATTTCGCCTTCTGTGTAAAAAAAAAAGTAAATTTATTTTTTTAAAATTTCCCTTTCTAGAAAATTTTCTGGAAGTTTGTCTAGTAAATTTTGGTGACTTTTATTCTAATCTGGAAGAGTTTATCAATCCATACATGTAGGAAAATAAATGAGGTTATCTAGTTACATAGTTTTTATCTAAAGGGGATTGTTGAATATGCAGGGGGGGTGTTGGAAGAAATCCTTAGGGGCCATGAATGGGGACTCATCAAACAAAACGCCTCCCAGTTGGTATCATCAGTTGTAAAAATCTTAGTTCTCTCGTAACATGTTTTGGTGTAAATACCTATCTGCAGCTCTCAATATGAAATAGTTGTCTTATTGGAAGTGTCTTCTGAGTAACTGACAATGAGTACTTTGTGAAGGAAAAAAAATGTCAGGACGTTGTGTGAACTCGAACAGAGAAAGATTCAGATCTATGTCAGGAAGGTGTTGATTGACCTGTAATTATTGATTCCTTTCCTCAGTAACAGAGGCATTAGAGAATGCCTGGTTCAATGAAAAATTTCCTAAGTGAAGTCACATCTGAATCAGTTAATTTCCATTCGCATGAATAACCTAGCCTGGTTGTCACATTTATTGCAAGAAACCTTTGTCGTCGTTTTTCAAACAATTTTTAATGTATCCTGACAAGTAACACTGATAGGACATGTATCCTTCAATTCCAAGCAATGAAGTTCAGATCTATGTTACTAACAAGTAGAATTTTCCTGTTAGCGCATGCTTAGTCCAACTGACATATGGTTGCATGTGATGCAAACCTAAACAGTAGTACGCATCTTCCTCTCTGATGAGCTGTAAAGCAAATAACATCATTATCATGGGTTCAATCAACTAACCACAAACTGAATTCTGTAAAGTAACAAGACTTCTCTATTTTAAGGAGAAGTAGAAGCCAAAAGCTTAAAATGTGAATTAAAGTTTGAAGAATGATTTCAGTATGTCATGGCACAAAGCTAAGGGAGGTTAATGATCCAAGGGGAGAGTGAACAATTAAGGATTATTTCATTGGTCTAAAATTCAATGCTTGGATAGATAATTTTTGTCAGAAACATTTCAAGAAAATTACAAAAACTGGTCTTTGTTATTGAATATATGCTAAACCAGCAGTCTATCTAACATTTTGAATTGCTGGCTGTATGCTGGCAATTTTTGTAGGAAGCTTTATTCTCTCAGTTCAGTATATTTTTTAGGAAATAAACATTATCAATGTCTTGAAGATTGCCATGAAATTAGAATAACATATTTATCATGGATAGTCTGATGACTATGTAGGGGAACAGTAAATTCATTTTGTTCCCTTTGTTTCTTTTCCCATGAATGATCATTTCTCTAGTTCATACACACTAAACGTATGTCTTCAATTCCAGATCATCCTGTGCACCCTCCATCTAGTAGCGGAAATCCGTGGGAATGTGATTTTCCAGGGAATAAAAATTATATAATCAAACCAGTGGATGGTGTTTTTCAAGTTTATAAGGACCAGCAGGCTTTTGAAATAAAAAAACCGAATTCATACCCATACCAAACTCTAGAGACATTTATTTCTGATATGAACAAATTGTGTATGTTGATAGCTGATGGACCCTTGTGAGTATCCTTAATTTTTCATGAAGTTAGCAAGAAATTAGTGAATTTGAATAAGTGCGTTGGTTTAGCAACTTCAGCCGGTGAAATTAGAGAGAGCGCCAACAACCTGCCAGGGGTGCAGAATCTTCCAAGCCTCACATTTTCACACGCCCACCAGTCGGCTTTCTACGTTTCTTATCAGTTTTCGACAAAATTTCCCACTAATCTGAAAAAAGATGATGCTTCTCTCCTATTTTCTTTCGATTTTTTACTTCTGGCCCGTTGAAATGTTCCCTCCTTCCACATTTTTGGGGCTTTTCCACATTTTCGTAGGTGCGTGAGCGAGCATTTTCTGCACTCCTGCAACCTGCAAGTGCCTTTTTCCTTAATTGGAATCTCTAGAAGTAGATTATGTCCTTAGTTTAGCAAAAGTCAGCATCATTTAGAGAAAATAACTTAAGGGAGGTTTTAATGAAAAGTTTGGGTATCGGAAAATGAAGAAATTATGGAAACCCTTGGCTTGAAGCTGGACTGACGCAACATTTGAGTCGAAGCCCTGAGTGCATCCATTCATTGGCTCGAGCTCCAAGCTAAAGCTATTGGAAACTTGACCTCTGCTCCTGGCTCCTGCTTGGCACAGTTCCGTATTCAGTGCACAGCTGAAATGTTCCTCTTACGCGGAATGGGAGCTAAAAGTGGACATTATGGGTGCATTTGTTGAGCTGCTGTTTGAAATTGGTGGAACAGTGTCCAATTTTTATAAATCAAAAAGATTACATCTATCTTTATGTCGGAACTAGGGGGCTACGCCCCCTGGCCGCTACGCGGCCCAACCCCCCGAAGGCGCTCCGCGCCATCAATGGGCCGCTTCGCGGCCCTATTTTTACCCTCCTATTAGTATTAGTTTTATTTTTCCCCTAAAAAAATTCGATATGAGGTATACTTAATAGAATGAAATAATTGTTGGTTTTGATGAATAAAGAAAAAAAAAATTGAAGTCAAAAGGACGCGTTTTGGAGTGACTGCTCGATGAAATATTACAGTAAAACAACGATCTGTTTAAATCGGATAATTTTCAAGTATCTCTGGAGGCGGGGATCGAACCCACACCTTGAACAATGTGGACACTTCCGACGTCGTAGACGACCCGGCCACCGCTCGTCTTGAGGTAAACGGCGGAAATCTTGTGTAGATAAGTGTAGAGCTGATGCGCAGGCTACACACCTACTGCGCAACCTCCTCGACCACTGCGCATCCTCCCGCGCATAGCGGTAGCAGTCCCGGAGCACTCTGTAAATTCACTCACTTTAATAACGTGATTTTAAAAAAACCTGGGTCCTTTTCCCAAAATCTGATTAGAGTGGGCTCATCTAGAGCCTATTACCTGTCGATTTACGCAAAAATCATGGAAATCGGCCTAGTAGAATGCTCAAACGAACTATGACAAAACACATAAATTTACATTGTTTATATGGGAGAATTCGCAACTTTACCACGTAATATAAAAAAACCTGGGCCATATTTTCAAAATCTGAAAAGAGTTGGCTTATCTAGAGACAATTGCCCGTCAATAGCCGCAAAAATCATGGAAATCGGCCCGGTAGAACGCTGGAACTAAGCGTCACCAGTTTCGCAAAATTAGGAGGTCTTGGAGCTTATAGTATAGATAATTCCAATAAATTAGCCATAAAACTTTAAAAAAAAAAAAAAATTGAAATTTACAGAATTACGGCTGCTAAACGATGACAACAGAGCCTCATTTTAGCTCACAATTAGGGGTCCGAAAATTAGGATGTTTAAACTATCATCTTTACACAACTGCAGCACTTAGTTTCTAAATTTGTCTAGTGGTCAATCTTCAAACCGATATTTTAAGAACTGACTCTCTTGCTCAACAATCTTTTTTATTTCATTAGTATTAATAAATTCATTTGTAGCTCTGAGGCAGTGAAACTCATTCTCCCATAATCATGGTGTCTATATCTATTTATAACCATGGTATCCATATGTATGTATTAATTCTTTTTTCTTCTCTTTTCATTTTTTTCTGCAGAAAATCTTTCTGTTACCGACGTTTGTGCTATCTCTCCTCCAAATTTCAACTTCATGTTTTGCTTAATGAGTTGAGAGAACTGGCTTCTCAGAAAGCTGTGCCTCACAGAGATTTTTACAATATTCGCAAGGTAAGCACTTGTCAAAAGAATTGTATTCAGAAACCTCTCCTATATTGTCTTGAAAAGAGAAAAAAGAAACCTGCCTTGTGAAATTCTTAATGTTTGTCATCAAGGAGCTTTTCAGACTTCCAAAATTGTTGGTGATTTCAGAATCAGCACCTTGCAAACGAACTTACCGTTTTCAAAGTAAGACTTCTTCTAGAAGGGACTTGCCACACAGAACTACCGTAATTCTTCTTAGTAGGCCGGTTGGTCGAAGGGCTGGTGTGATGGAAGATAAAGAGGGAAGATAAGAGAGAGAGGAAAAGAGTTAGAAAAGAGAAGGAAGATGAAAAGAAAAATATAAAATGGAGAAAAAACAAGAAAAATTAAGCATCACCAAAAATTGAAGAAACAAGAAAACTTATGAAAAACAAGAAGCACATAAAAGAAAATAGGGTGTCTACTGTACGGAGAAAGTACAGGTACACTAAAAAAGCTCGGATTTCAGAAGGTTGGTGTAGAAGTACAAAAACGTACGGATTTTCAGTGAGAAGGTACGGAAATTTGAGATTCTTGTCATAAACTCCACAAGTAGATGTGGGAGTATGTGATTTCTTAACATAATCCATTTATTAAGTTCCCAGTTTGATTTCTCTTGTTTTTCGGTTTATTCCTTTGTCATTTCAGCATTCCAATTTCCCAACGGGAATACAGTTTAAAATGAGTGTAAAGTAAGGAAAAAGCAAGGATTTTTGAGAATTGTCAAAATGAAGAATTTTCGAGAAAGTACAGAGAAAGCAAGGAAAAGGTACTGAAAAAGCAAGAAATTTGAATGGCAGGGTACCAGGAGATACCCTTTAAAAGAGGTCGCAGGATGAAAATTGATAAAAACAAGGATTTCTTGGTATAGATTGTAAAATAATTTCAGCAAAGAAGCACTCAAATTAGTTTCCTCTTTTGGTGCTAAGACCATGTAGGTAAACCTTACTGATATCTGAGATAATATGTGACAAAATGATCATTTGGTCTTTGAATTAATGCAGATTGACCGTCCTATCCTCCTTATTAAAGGCGACTATTATCTTTTGCCCAAAAAATTGGCATTTTTTCGTGTAGTACCCTCTGCTGGATATTTGTAGAGACAATTATGATCCTACATATTTTTTTTTTTTTCTTTTAAACTTGCACCTCAAAATTGATGCAGGTATCAATTGTAATCATCATATGTGCAATTGTAGCAGGTTAAATATTAATTTACCAGACAAGTGCCAACATCTCAGGTTGAAAATTGTCAAAATATTTGAAAATAACTTCAGAGGGAAGTCTTTCAAATTAGTTACTCATTGTAATGCACAGACCAGGTAGAGAAACTACATGTGTACTATGGTCATCTGAGACAGTGACTAGCATGACTTCATCGATTGATGTATATTAACCAACGGAAAAAATTATTCAAGAATGAAAGAGGAATTATCTAAAGTCTTGCCTTTTTTTGGTAAGCTTGTGAGCTTTGTTATATCCCTGTGAAGTAGAGAAGGTTTCTGTTCAAAGAAAATTAGTTTATGAATTTGCAAGCAAGAATAACCTCCTCAGGTATTCTACTGTTTAACCTTAAAACATCCTCGGATATCTTTGTGTTAAATTTTTTTGGTTCGTTTTTAAGAATATTGTGGAAAGAAGTTATTTTCAAGAACAAAAATTTTATGAAGACTTTCACAAATGAGTGCATATAGGTTTAACATCTCAACAAATGTTTTTCTGATCATTTGCCCTCTCTCTTCAACAGGTAGATACTCATATCCATGCAGCCTCATGCATGAACCAAAAACATCTGCTACGATTTATCAAAAAAACATTGAAGAACCACAAGGATGAAGTAGTCACTTGTGGAAAGGAAGGCGAAATGACTCTAAGCCAAGTCTTTCAATCTATGAAATTAACATCTTACGATTTAACTGTTGATATGCTAGATGTCCATGCGGTAAGTTCTCTATGGTGTTTGTATTTTCTCTGTCAGTTCAGGCAGTCCAGGTGGAAATTTGAGTTCAGGTGGGAAAAAATTGTAAGCAAATTTCAACCAATGGGCAATGATCTGCCATTGTGAAGTGTAATTCCCGAAAAGTTTTCAACTCTTTGATGTGTCGAAAGCCATGAGAATAAAAAAAATTAATTTAAGAAACTCAGCGAAAAATTTTAAAAATTGTTAAAAATTTCAAAATTTTGACATTATAATTCCGTCAGCAGCTAATTGTAAATAACTTTCAGGATACCATAGGCGTGATGAGTCACCGGTCATCCTAGAATCAGGCTCAAATGGGGTTAATCAGTATGCCTTGCAGTATACTACATGAGCATGACTTTACTAATGATGAGAAAAATTGGAATTTTCCACCATTTTCGAAGATAGCAACTGAAAAAAAGCAAACTAAAAATTTCCAATTATTGAATAATAAAATTTTTATTTGTGTCAACTTTTGTTATATTTGCAATCTGTAGCATTTCATTAAAAATCTTTAGAGAACCCTGCAAAATCTAAGACGACCCATAAATGTCTGAAAAAATCCGATGACACACAAGCACCCGTAAGATGGCTTTAAACCGTTATCACTGAACAGTATCCTCAGAATTCGTAGAATTGGCAGAATTTTGCAAAAATCTTTTGAGGATTTCTGAAAACTATGATCATCTGTGAGCACTTCCAAAATTGTGAAAAACGGTGCAACAAAGATTCGGAACTGAATTTGTAAAATTGAACCAACCCTGCCCAACCCTTTATACTTCATAACATTTCTATGAGTAACTTGGCAACAATTTTTTGTAGAAAATTAAATTACCATTTAAAATCTTATGAAACGCTCTACTACCTTTATACAAGGTATTCATTTGGTTTGTGGACAATTCATGTCTTAAACTTCCTCTCTCGATTTTCTTAAACAACTATTTAAATGTTTTTAAGTGTGGCAACATTGCTTGAAAATGTTCAAAAATTGTTGTTCATTAATTGAATGCCTAGAAAATGTCTGATATTTCTATAATAAGATAATTTTGATTCCACAATGAGAAATAAACTTACAGGTGTTCGAAAATCAGAAAATCTTCCTGAGTTTCCTGATTTCTCCTATCATTCTGTAAATTGAGGAGTTAAGGACTATTCAGGAATTACTCTTTTACTGTAGTAGATTAACGCTCATTAGTTGAAAGTCTGCAATTTTTTCCCACCTAAGGAGCTAGTCTGCCTGGACTATGTACCAGGAACTCCTCTATGGAGTTGGTGGGTGTGCTGCTAAGGGCTGTTTTTGTTCCCCTGCTGGATTCCTGCCCTCCCATGATATTTGCGCAGTGGAGATCCACATTCAAAAGATCGGATCATGATGCGGCCATATTTGATACCTTACAGGGTTTTCAGGCCTAATCATGGGTCTTAAGGTCAGTATTGGCAAAGAAAGCGGTACTTTTGGCATCATTCTATGTGTTTTACATACTGACCTCATGGAAACAGCAAAAAATCCCTCAAGCATGTTCATCAAGGATGCAAGACAGTCACTTTGTCTAATCACTGTCAAAATGAAACCTTGTTTTTGTAGTTAGAAAAGCCTTTTTGGAAGAGAGTAACTTTCAGCGAGATTTGTACTTCAAACAGAGTATTTAGAAGAATTTTTCGAATATCCAAGTATAAACCTTGCTGAAAAATATTATTTTTAGTGTGGATAATTTGCTCTCTTTAATCCATTTGCAACAGAGGCAAAAAACTCAAGAAGTCGAAAAAGGTTTTCCTAACTGTAAGCACGAGGGTTGATTTCGACTGTTATCGGACAAAGCGACTGTCTTACATCCTGGATGCTTTTTTATTACTCCCATAGGGTCAGTATGAAACGGCGTATTGAAAGCTGAAAAACTAGCATTCTTTGCCAATATCTCCCCTCATTTATACGCCACTATAGGACCCAGCAAGGAATAAAGAATGGCGGTATTGTGAGCCAATCCTGTAAACACTAATCTTTGATGCCCAAGAAATCACAGAATCGCGGGAATCTAGCATGGTCCAAAAACGGCCCTTATTGATATTTCTTAGAAAATGTTCATGTTTTAATCATTCTTGCTCTTTGAATTTTTTTATTTCCATACAAGGGCTTCATTTATTTTTGTTTGTTTTAAAAAAGTCACATGGAACGATTGTCAGTTTTTTTGTGAAGTGGAATCCTTGTTACCTCACAAAAGTTTGTTTCCTTTTGAGACCATATTTTATTTTGCCCAACAGCTTGTGTTAAATACTACGGTTATTCTTTATCATTATTCTACTTTGATTGTTTGTATTTGCCTTGTCTATGCAAGAATTTGTTCCAAATGTATTCGTTCTTCCATCTTTTATATTTTAATTGCATGTGAACACCTTTAAACCTACAATTGCACCTAGTCTTAAAGAAGTCCCAGAAGTTTTTTGAAGGGTTATTTATTCTCAGAATAGTGCAAGTCCAGCAGTGCCTAGGATGAGGGTATGCCTCTTGTACATGAAGCTCAAAAGTTCAACTAGGAAGACTGGTCAACTTAACAAAACACAAAAAAAAAAATCCTAGATCAGACTATGTTCATCTCTCAGAGTTGTCACATTGAGCAGCACTGAACCTTCTAATAACGAAAAAAGGTAACAAATTCAGGAAGTCTAACTATTCATGAAATTTGGAAAGATCATTTGAATGTAAGTTCTAATATCCAAAATTAAATAATAGTAGCGGGGTTTCTTCTTTTTTCTCTCAAGATTACTCTCCAAGGCAAATTAAAAAATTTGAAATTACCTAATACAACCATAATTTTTTACATAATTCTAAAATCATTTCTGACAGATAACTATCTTAGAACTTGCAAAATGGCTTAATACGTCCAAACTTCCCCAGTTGTCTCCCCTTCCAGTAACTTTGCCCTGAATAACTTAACTTTGGTGATAATTCAAGATTACCTCCCTTCAAACATCGACTCTTTAACTTTTGATAACTAGCAAATCTCTACCAAAATTCAAAAACTTTTCAAGTTCCTGAATTGCAAAATCCCTTTCTCCTAAACTAGACGTAAATAGCCATAGTAGCTGATGGTCGTAATGAAAAAAGGAACCAACTGTACGTGTACATTTATATGTATATGTTACAAATACTTTAACTATACTTGTGTTTAATACTTTGACTTAAGTTTTTTATATTGTTTGAAAAAAAATTCAGCCATTTTTTTCCAAAATTGTTCAAGTATGTTAATCAAACAATATTTTTGAAAGCTAGCCATTAAATTTGTTGAAAATATTTTTACAATATTTTTCTATTAATGCCTTAAAAGTGAAATATTCTACAAATATATTCTCAAAAAAATTATTTTCATACAAAAAATTTTAAGTTGAGGAAGTAAGTATCATAAGTTGAAAAATTTTCAGAGGCATTTTTGGTTGTTTTTTGACACACCTATAAAACTTAGGTCTTCAAATGCTTGAACTTAGTGCAGCAGCTCCACTCTTTTGAAGAATGTCTCTGCTTTATTTGGGCCTATGATTATTTTTTTTAAATTATTTTTTCTTACCATGCACCTTTTCCACTCCTTTTTTATGATTTTTTTTCACGAAGTTCCTTTTTTATGTATTTGTAACTAATATGGTGACATAATTTACAGATGGAAAACGATAGACAAATGGAAAAATCTATTGATCCACATACTTTGGTAAATCAATTTTCAAAGGGCTCTTCCAATTTTATCCGGTTTTTCTTCAGAAGTTAAAGGCATTTTTTCCCCTTGTTTGATCCTTTTTTATTTGCCGAATTTTAGTGGTTACCTTTTTTGTGATTCCTGCATTGTTTGTGTATGAATTTTTTTTTTTTTCCCAATCTGTTACAGACAACAGTATTTGTTTTCCCCCTTTTCTCCTCTCGCGTCTTTTCCATTTAAAATATTTACCAGAGTCATTTTAAAAATTTATTTATCAAACGTGGCCAACATGATTTTACAAAATCCCTTTTTTCCAAGTTTCAAATCTTTGTTGATCTCAGAATTCAGGAATTGTTTCAAATAGCTTTGTCAACTTTAAAGCCTCAGAACTGTTGTATCCAGCTTTTATCGGAAGTAAGCAAATACTGTAAAGCCAAGGACAGATTTTTTTTTCGGTTTACCATTTTCGGGAAGTTGTATCCTCTACTTAGGTCAAAATTTCCGCTTACATAAACATCAGTTTTTTGAATAATCCTTCTTTTAAGTTCCATTTTTTCTTTCAATAGTATTAATTTCTCTTTTTAATCTTTCAATCAAATATTTTTTATTCGAACTTCATAGAACACCAATTTCCAATGTACGTCTTCCATCCAAACTTTTCATTCGTCATTATGGAGTGTCTGAATCAATGTCTTCAAATGATTTGCCTACTTTTTTTTACTTTCCGATTATAGCATGTCAAATTTAGGTCCAACCAGAAATTCAATTAGACCCAGGTTTTCCTACGTTTGCAATCCTTTTTACTGTCACCGTCAAGCACAATTTCATTAGTCAGCCCTAGCTGGGTGAAAAGTTTCAGTTGAATCCTGGTCTGATGGAAGAAACCCTCAGTATACTTAGGGTTGATCGTAATAAGTCAAGGCTGTTCCAAACTAGGGATGTGGATCATAAGTGGTTTTAATAATGTCCCGATGAGGAACTTGAAAACCTCAAATGTGAAAGAGGGAGACTCTATGACATGCTCCAGAAAAATGTATTCAGTAAAATATAAATGATTCAGTCAACCAATTTTTATTCCTTCTATTTTTGGTTAAAAATGTGTTTTTACGCCGAATTTAGCTTTGAAAAACTGAACATGAAGGCATGAGATTTAATAGGGGGTATGCAATCATCAAGCTACAAGTATCATTTCATACAAATAAATCGATCAATAATATATACATTTGATGTGTCAAGAAAGCGCTAAGACTTCTTCCTTTTCCACTCAGGACACTAGCCCTCTGATTCCGTTTTATTTTTTTTAAAATGAAATATCTTAATTTGCAGATGAGTCTGCAGCCTTTGATTTTTCCCATTTGCGAAATTGTTGTTGCCTATTTTCTCTCAATGTAAAAACATCCTATTTTCAACCCTGCCGCTTGATTTTTTTTCGTACTTTTGATCTTGGAAACTACATACCAGATTTACTTCAGATTGCACTTACTTGACCCTACATCTTACTTGATCTGCACATGTGTTCACAGCCTTTAGTTTTTTATTTTTTTATAATCGTCAGACGTTTTCTTGAGCATCGTTTGACTCGGCAAGATCTTACTGAATGGATTTCCCTCCTTTATGTACTTTCTCGTATCATTTCTCCCTCTCTACTCTCTACTTTCTTCCTTTCCTAATTTCTGTATGTCTTTAGACCTATCACTAATATTCTTCCCCTTAGACTTCTGAATGACTAATGACAACTTGCTTCTCAGTTCAACAGTGTTTATGTAGCAGTCAAAAATCCAAAACGTGGGGACAGTACAAATTATTTAAAAAGATTTGTTTTTGTTGAGGAAAATCTTTTTGAGTCGGGGCTGATTTTGAAATGTCCCATAGAGCTTTAGGAAAATTAAGAAATAAATAGAATTTTTAAGTTTGCTCTGTGATAGAAAGCAGAGAAAATTGTTGGTCACTTGATACCGTTATGCGCTTTCCCTTAACTGAGTTTCAATCCTTAATAAGCCTCTCTTCATGCTCTCTGAATGCTTCTTCTTTACACGCTTAAGGTGTCACGAAAAGTGTGTTCCAGTCCTGTCATCAAAGGAGGGCAATTTTCATCTCCTAGATCTGGAGGAAATTTCATTTTTCTTATTGTATGGGAGATACTGCCTGTTGCATTTTACTTCACGTGACATTAAACTTGCGATGAGTAAATTTCATTTGAAAATCTTGGTAAAGTAGGCAAAAACATTGAGGCTTTTTACACTTGTAATATGCTTGGAAGGGGTTTTATGTGTTAGGAAAAGTTCGGTATAAGTGCTGTCAATTGTCTAACACAAGTTGCACCAGTTCAATAATTTTTAAATCCTTTTGGAAGCAGAGGGACTGCAGTGCAGTTTTCTTGCGATGTCTCAAAACAGAGAAGTTAGTCACAACCCTTCCAGCTTTATTTGTTGCTGTTATGGTCTATTCCCTGAATTTATTATTCTCCTTTTTAATTCCTGCCGCTAGAGTTCTGACTGGGAAGTGCTAACCATTTATTTGTTCATTCTTGAAACTAACTGTTTTACTATATTTTAATCCGTATGCTGCATTTTCTTTTTTTTTTTTTTTTCAAAAATTTGAAAATAGTTTTTATCATTATTTTTTGGTTTTATTTGATATAATAGTAACTAATAGGATTCTTTTACAAGCGGTTTAGCTCATATTACAACTCCAGTCAATGGCATATCAGTGCCCTAATTTCACTCTGAAAAAAAATTCCAAAATGCCCCTCCTCACAAATTTTCATTGCAACCATCGAAAACCATCAAAAGGATTCTGAAACTAATCGTGGAATTAAGGCCTCTTTCTCAGCCTTTCTTTTTACTATTTATTTCCTAGCTTACCAGGGATTCAGAATCTCCGTAATCTCCACATTTCAACTCGCCTGCTCACTGGCTGTCCACATTTTTTCCACCAGCTTTCCATAGAATTTTTCTCCTATTGCAAAAGAGAACTTATTTTCCCATTTCCTCCTCTTTTCTTGCCAAAAGCTTTCAGGACTGTTTTTAATCACAAATAGACAAGGGGAAGAGAGTGAGTTGAAAAATCAGCTCCTGCATAGAAGGGAAGGTAAAGTGAGCGATAATTGTGGCAGAGTGTCCTCAGTAAGACAATTTTTGGAATCACTCACGATTTCTGCATCATGCCTCCGCTTTCTGTTCCGCTCTGTTCTCCACTCGGACACATTAGAAAGTTCTTTCTCACACAAAAGGCAAAAATAGGAAAATTGAAGCATTATGGTGCCTGCAAAAATTTGGAGCCCTAATATTTTTTCTCATGTTTCACATTCTTAGGACATTTCCACTGATTCGGAGCCTTTCCACATTTCTACATGCCCATATATTTTCTACACCCTTGTATCTCTCGTTTGTTTTTGAGAGCTCAAAAAAATACTTCTTAATTCACAGTAGATAGTGTAATTTCTTTGAAAAATAAAAATTCAAGGTCATTGGACTATATTTTAGTCTGGAAGAAAATTTGTAAAATTTTTATACTATCAATTTTTTATAATTGGCCAAATAAGACTCGAATTAGGGGCCTGAGGGTTAAATGTATTGAGTCAGGAGGCCGAAATCCCCTAAACTTTAGTTTTAGAATCCCTATGATGACTTCAAATAGTTAAACAAAACTCTACAAGGAGGGGTATTTGGGCATGCTTATCTGGGGTTACCCTTTGCTTAAGTAACTTTACTGCGTTTCACAAGTAAATCTACTTCAATAAGTGCAGCATGTGATACAACTTTGAAAGATACATCTCCCTTTCCGTGGGTTTTGGGCCAGATGCTCGAAAATTGATCTCAGGATCGCGAGATTGTATTTTCAGCAATTTTGATCCTAAGTTAATGTGGTTTATAACGTTCAGTGGTACTTTCATAAACATTTAATCAGTTCCTGTCAGCCCAAATGATACCAGAAATCAGGAAAACTTGTTATTTTAAGTAATCCTAGAATATCCAAATTCTTAAGGCATTTCAGATTTTCCAAAAATATTCTGATGATGGTCCATGAATTCATTGTGGACATCTATATTTTCTTTGAACATTCTCAGATAATTCAATGAATATCCGAATTCTGTATTCGAGTTTTATTCCCGTTACAAAAGAGAGAGAAGAGAGAAAAATAGCAGTGCTATTTTTAGCAAGAGAGTATGAGGCAAGCAAGAATCCAAAATTTTCAGAATGAACAAGTCAACAGGTATCACACGTTTCCTACTGACCCTCCTTTCTTCTTAAAATTATGATAAATTGCACTCTTGCCGACCATAATGTAACTAATTTACCCAGTAAGTCTACTTCTAGTTATAGACCACTAATTTTTATTTCAGATATGCCATGGTAAGGTCTCTGGAAGTATTACAAAGTCCAATTTAGCTAGTACATAAAGCCAACTTAGCAAGTAAATAGCTAGAAGATGAACTGTTCCTTAAATTGTTTTAAACTTGCTTGTTTCCTAAAATTTTATAAAAGAAAGTACTATATTTACCCTTGTTTGTATTATTTTTCTTTCAGGATCGAAATACTTTCCATCGGTTTGATAAATTTAATTCCAAGTACAACCCAATTGGTGAAAGTAGACTGCGTGAGGTTTTCCTGAAGACTGATAATTATTTGAATGGCAAATATTTCGCACGTATCATTAAGGTGATTTTTGTTTCATTACTTTCATAACCTCTTCTATTGCTCAGGTCTAATTTTGTACTCCACTAGCTGCTGTCGCTTGTTTAACTTGTCTTTGCAACTTGCCAGCAAGGCAATTTACCTGTCTAATGCATTGACCTTCATATAAGCGAGTAAATTTTCAGTGATGAAAGCGTATTGCATCTATCAAAGCCACAAGGTATCCTAAATAGCACAGATTGGAAAAAATTAGAAGGTCCCTGTAAAAAAGTTTCAATTTTTTATTGTTGCTATCTGTGGCCGATTTTCTAACACCAAAGTTTCAATTTTATTCTGGCCATATTTTTCTTCAACATGTGCTCAGGGTGCTCTGCTTGAGCTTCTTCCATGAGGTTTTGTTGGTAGGTAGTTAATAATGTTTAAATTTTTTGAAATCTCCTCAGCAGTTAAATGTTCAAAGCTTTTCATGGTATTGAAAGTATGCTCTGTTTGCAGGAATTCATTAAATATTCTTGATTTTTAATACTTATTAGAACATAAATTGAAATTTTTCTCCTCTTGAAATACTTTACTTTGAATTATAAATGTAAATGCTGTTTTCCATGCCAACCATCTCTCCGCATGCAAGAAATTTCTTATAACTCCCAAATAAATGAGTTGGGCAGTTGCAATTAGCAGGACATTGCTGGATCAAAGCATTAATGATTAGAAGAATTCGCATTTGAAGAGTACCGATTTTCTAAAGTTTGGTTTTCTCTGCAGAAAACTGAATTTTCCCCTCATATCAAACTTACCTGGAAAATATTACATTTTCTGAAAAACTGGCGCGCATTGGGAAAAAATGAAGATTATTTTTAGATTCAAAAGCCAAGAATAACGTAATAACCTTTTGAGAAGGGAAAAGGTCATTTTTTCATGCAAGCACTTTTCATTTTTAAATGTGTTATGCTTGAAACTACAATATTTGCCACATGTCCTATAACGAAAAAAGGTCTGCAATCACTAACATACTTTCTCTAGAGCTGTTAATTCATTAAATGCATTTGTTTTTAACATTCAGTAGTTTAGTTAGATAGAAAACAAAAACAAACTTGCCAAGTTACCTATCTCTGATTTTTTAAAGAGGTTCTTCTGGGTTTTTAAGTAATTTAGAATTTTTCTGAGAATTAATGTGCTGATGTTTTTTTTTTTCCAGGAAGTTGCTTTTGATTTAGAGGAAAGTAAATACCAAAATGCAGAACTGAGATTATCTATTTATGGAAAGAATAGTGAAGAGTGGGACAAACTAGCTAGATGGGCAATCACTTACAATGTATACTCTGATAACATTCGCTGGCTCATTCAAATACCAAGATTGTTGTAAGCATTAAACATTAATTTTTTAAAAAGTTGCTGCAGTAGATAGTATTATTACTTGTGTAGAAATTAAATTTTTGATAGCCGCGCTGATTGCATGGTATATTTTAAGTCTCATCACAGCCTGTATTTGAGGATATCTCAGAGAGTCAGCCTGAAATCTTTGGCTCATAGTCAATGAACAATGCAAATATCGAGTAATAATGAGTATGTCTGATGGTAAGTTTTATCAGTGTCAAAATATTCATAAACCACGTTCATCCTTACACTTGAGAGAGAAGCTGTTCAAAAAAGAACCTTTTTTGGATCATGAAAAATTTACATTGTTGTCTACTAAGTAACGAATTGACCAGCACTTGTAAGGCCAATTTTCCTACAGTAGCTGAGCTACACAGAGCGAGCTATCTTCCGGTACTCATGAGGAACTTGGAACACCGCTGAATGCCTGACATAGGGGGCCTCTGTAGTTTTTTTCGGATAATTTGCCAGCGACTGATGTCCGATTTTTAAAGAAGTCCTTATCTTGGGTTTCCAATGCCCTGCAGAAAATAAGTGCTAAAACACTATGGCTGTGAGCGTGTTAAAAATACCAGTTTCTCCGAAGACATTATTATGTTGTCTTAGAGAGAAACTGTATCAATCTCTCCTGCAGTTCAGGAAAGACAAAGGCGCGTTCTGACGGCATGCCAAGCTGCTGCGGGTTGCTTGACAAGCCCTTCACCGAAGAGCTCTCTATCCTCACATCTTCACTGTAGAGAGCGTTTGCCAAAAGCAGAGACAAAGAGAGACTCCATTGCTGTGTCGGCAATGGTGGAAGCTTTTACTTTTGGGACTCCAACATTCAACCGTTGACTTACCTACAATGTGGATGTTGCTCTCGTATAGTTTTCCATAAGGAAAGGTCGAATTCTCGAAAGCAACAGTTCCTACCTTACGCCAAGAGACCAGTGGTCTCTCTTTGTCTTTGGCTAGAAAGCTTGTGAAGTTGCACGTCAGGCTGCCTGTTGTACAGCCCGGCAAGCTGTCTTAAAGCGCTTTCAATTTGCAATCAAAGAGGGAGGGAAAATAAATAAAAGGAACAAAGTTAATACCCCTCATAATTTTCCCTTTCATTTATTACTTTCCAGTGATGTGTTCAAATCTAACAAATTACTCTCCAATTTCCAAGAATTTTTGAACAATGTTTTCTTACCTCTTTTCGAAGTCACCAATAACCCTCGAAGTCATCCAGAGCTGCATATGTTTCTGCAATACGTAAGTCTCTCTCTTTCTTTCTTATTTAGTGTACTTCATCCTTAATCTTATCTCAATAACTTACCTCCTTTTTACATAGGTTTTAGTATGGTTCTCTTGAAAATTTCGTTTGAATCAAATTGAATGATTTTCTAACAATTAATCTCTGGATAAGACTAGAAACTAAGTATCCAAATGCTTATTTTCTTGGGATAATTCCCTGTGAAATACTTACTGTGAAGATTTCTTAATTCAATTTTCAAGGAAGGCATGTGTATTTTTTTTTGTTTGCTCTTGTGTTTTATTTGTTACTTTCAAATTTTTTGCTGGAAGTTTGAAAGCGTCGAGGGAAAACTTGGTTTATATCTACTAACACTCAGATACACAGCTGGAGCACTGCATAGTTGGATGTTCTACACACTTATTAATGACACAAATGAAATAATACTCAATTAATAGATAGATAGACCAATAGATTAAAAATAGGTTTGATTAATATTTGATTCAATAGATACCTATAAGTATTTTAGGTTCGGGTTTTGTCTTTAACTATCCAATTTCAAGTTAGTTGACTTTTACAGTCCAAGTGATTTTGCGCTTGTGTTTATTCTGTTTTTCCTTTTGATGCAGGTTATTGGTTTTGATTCAGTTGATGATGAAAGCAAACCAGAAAACCCACTGTTCGACCGAGCTGCAGATGTACCAACCCCAGAAAACTGGACTGATGATGAAAATCCATCCTATGCATATTATCAGTACTATATATATGCCAATCTCACTATTTTAAATCACTTCAGAAAGTTAGTGCCATCTTTATCATACTGTCGCGTTTTTATCTAAATTTTTCTCTCTTTCATTGGGGCCTTGTGTTAATAGTTGTGGATGCAAGTTAAAGTTCTTCTCTTCAGGTTTCCCTGATAGTAAGCTCCAGCTTAAATTTACCACAAACCTCAGTAAAAAGTTAAATAAATCATTTCTAAGGGGAGATAAAGCTAATAAAAATCCGACCAATCAAAAGAAAATAGTCAAGTTGATTTAGACAGGCAATGTTTGAAGATGAGTAGAGCTAAGCAGCAAAGCCCATTTCCTCTGCCTAGTTACATCATCAGTGCCTGCCAAAAATTTCATCTCAAATAGGTCCCATTCTTGGTATTTTTCAAAGAATGTTTCTTTGTTGTCTAAAGAGTTTAAAAAAATTGAAAAAATTCCTCTAAGCTTAGTACACTCTATACTTCTAGAAAATGAATTTAAAAAATTAGGTCAGTGTTACCGACCCGTTCAGTTAATTACTTGGTTGGCCAACAAACTTCTACAGCAGTGAAACATTATTTTTGTTCAATTTTGTTAGTTTTTTAACTGATTTGTTCATTTTTCTACAGAGAACAAGGTTTAAATACATTCGTTTTAAGGCCTCACTGCGGTGAAGCAGGGCCTGTACAACATTTAGTCTGTGGTTATCTGCTAGCAGAGAATATTTCTCATGGATTGCTTCTGCGTAAGGTATGTTCGTTAACTAATTTGAAGTAAGGGAATTTTGTGAGACTTGTCATTTCTGATTTTTTTACAAATTTTCTGGACACACACACTCGAAATACATTTCTTTGAGCTGAAAAATTTGAAAAATGCCAATTTTTTTTTAGATATTAATAAAAGTACAAATAATTTTCTGAATTTCATTTTCATGGTAGCATTATGCAGAATACGTGGTCTGTTACATAAGCAACAGAATTTTGGTGATAACTAGCTCATTTTGCGTCTAAATTAGGTTTCTTTGGACTTTCCTTATAGCTGATAACATACTGAAGAACGCTAGATTCACAGATTTTGTTTATTTTGATCAGTGTTCATTCTATGTCACCTTGAATACGAGTAAGTCAGTTGCCTTCTGCGATTTTTATCATACGATCACTGATATAGCAAAGGTTTAACATTAAATTTTGTTTTAAACTCAGTAAACCTTGTATCAAAACTTTTGGTATGCTAAGTAAAGTACTAAGATCATTATATGAGTTGTTCTCAACGTTTTGAGTGGTCTAAACGGTTCAAAACTGGTCAGGCGTCCGTCACAGATAAGGAACACGGGAATCGACCATCAACAGCAACTGACATTTGCCATGTGAAAGAAGTGCGGGCAAAAGTGCTCGGAAATGGTTGTTTTGAGCTCTCAGAGCAGTATGATATGTCTAAGGGCTCTGCACACACAATTTTGATAGAGTATTTAGACATGCATCGAGTTTCAGCTAAACTTGTCCTGTGATTGTTGTCCGTTCAACAAAAATCCAACCGAAAGTCAAATCCCTTGAGCGTCTTGAACGTTCTAACAATGATTCTACATTTTTGGATACGGTAATTTCCGGTTCCGAAACTTAGGTGTGTGGCGATATGAAGACGAAATTCCAATCATCCATGTGAGTTGAAAAAGTTAGTGCAAGACTGAAAAATGAGCAAAAAGTTCGGTCAAACATGGAAATTGCTTAACACCCATGAGGTTGCCGTACTTCAAGCCATGTACCAACAAAGCTAATTAAGTTTTTTCAAATTTGTGAATGTAGCGTTTGGGAAAGTACAAGAAAACCTGATTTGGACGCACGGTGGGCTAGTTGTCACTAGAGTTGGGCCAAAATAGATTTTCTGCGTCACCGGATCCGGATGTCGGATAATTCGCCAAGGTATCCGGCTGGAACCAGATAAAACTGGATCAGGATTGTGCTTTTTTGCGTGAGAAAAATCTCCCGATTTTGCACTCGGGACAAGAGGCACACTGTGTATTACACCATCAAGACTGTCACACACAATGTATGTGCCTTCGCTCCGGCAACCTCCATATTTTTCAATGATACGCTATGAGTCGGTCCGCTAAAACAAATCCAAAAAAAAAGACCTGGCAGATAAGCAGCATGGCTTTAATTGGCTTCATGGTGTGATGGGCCAGATGAATCTGATGTGCAGTGAGAGAGACATTATTAGAAGTGTGCCTAAACAAGATGTAAGTGGAAAACAGCGCTTTGATACTGCAATAACAAGCTGCTGTGTACTGCGACATTATAATAATTGCTGAGTTACCCTCGGACTAAAAACGTTACCAACAGGGAACTAATGCACATGTTGGTGCCATTGTTTTTTTTTTTATCTTCCACCTGCATCTTCGTCTTTGAAAGTGAAACACGCGGACTTTCGGAACTAAGGGTCACATCGCAATCGTGTATATGTGCAGGGAATGTCCTTAATTACGATGATAACAAGTTAAACAATCACAATGACTACTCAAAAAGCGCCGAAATATGCCAAAATATCACCAAAAATTTATCGAAATTTTCACGGTTTTAAAAGCACTAACCGGCAGGTCCAAAAACCGAATATCGCAATTATCCGGCTGGATACAGATACTCGCGAAAATCATATCCGGCCGGAGCCGGCGATCGGGATAATCGCCGGATACCCAGCCCATCTCTAGTTATCACCAAAATCTGGTTTCTTATCTAACAGACCTGGTAATGTAAGTTGGTTTCCTTGTTCTGGACATTTTCTTTCATGACTTTTTACTAACTCAGGAGCAGTGCGGATGCACGCAGTTTGTAAAAGAGAGGGAGTTGGAGTTGTCTTACAGGTACTGTGCAAGAGAAAGAGCCAGTCAAGTGCCCTGCCTAATTTTTGGACGGCCCCTAGAATAAGCCTTTCAAAAGACTACCGCAAGTACTGTGAATACTGTTATGAGTATATGTTTGCAGATAAACCATATTTCAGATTTTGAGAGGGTCAAAAAAAGAAAAGATAAGCTCTTACATGAGCAGGAAGGGTTTTACAGTCAGAAAAAAGGCAGTATAATGTCATGGATTAGTCAGTAGTTTTTTTTTGGGGGGGGGGGAGTTCAAAAGTCTGTAGTCACTCTGCTCTATAAATTTGCCTTGTTTTTTATGAATTCATGTATGTATCTGTTTAGGTACCTGTACTTCAATACTTATATTATCTGGCTCAAATCGGTATCGCTATGTCACCTCTGAGTAACAACTCTCTGTTCCTGAACTATCATCGAAATCCGCTTCCCGAATATTTATCCCGTGGTCTTTGTGTCAGTCTTTCAACGGATGATCCACTGCAATTCCATTTCACAAAGGTGAGTTTGATTTTTACAATCGCTGTTCGATAGCATAGTGCCATCAGGTGACAAAAACTTTCAGATTCAGTACCTCATAACATACACCTCTCACAGCAATGCTGTTACAGGTTAGGTGACCTCATCTGATGTGAGGGTGCATTCTTTGGTTTCTTCTGCTTTGTTTTTTTAGCGCCTCAGTGATGCTCTTGAAACAACTGGTGAGCAAATGTATCCATTGTTTATGAGACAAAGATGAAAAAAATCTCAGCATGCACCACTGTATTGACCAGGAAGAGGAATTAACAGCAGTTACTGTTAGGGTCAAACTGGCATTCAACATATTACAATCATATATTGTTCCTAAAGTAATGCAATGATCTTAGCTCTGAATGATGCAATTTCATTTTAAATGAAACCTCTCAGTGCATATTTATTCCCAAATTTATTTTAGGTAGATCATAAAAAATAAGATAATATGAAGTGCAGAAAAAATTCCATGAAAAAACCAGTCTCATCGATAAATTGAATGAAATACCATTTCAGTTAATGAATTGGGAAAACAATGAAAATAAAGTTATAAAGGTGTGCTATGCAGAATAAAATTATCATGAAAACTGTTGAAATTCTCATAATTTGAATACCAGCAGTCTTTAACCCCTCAATTCTGAGAAATTAAGATACCTCTGTATGCTAGTTCTTCCATTGTATTTCCTCTAAGGATGTCATTTAATCATTTTTAAATCGACAGTAGTGCTTACAAGTGCCACTAGCCTCAATTTACTAACTCTCATTATTGTTTCATCTCAGGAACCTTTGATGGAGGAATACAGTATTGCTGCACAAGTGTGGAAATTGAGCTCTTGTGACATGTGTGAGCTGGCCAGAAACAGTGTGCTGATGAGTGGATTCCCACATAGAGTAAGTTTTTGTTCGTTTGAAGCTTGCTTTGTATATGCAGATAATGACTTTTTCTCATCAAACATTAAACCTGGTGAAAGTTCAACTTTCTTGTCCAAACTAAAAAGCACAATAAACTATTGTAGAGGCTCTCCAAGTTAGATGCTCTGAGACCTGAATGTTAATTCTGGATAAAAAAAATTTTAGTCCGAGCCAAATTAGTGACCAAGTTGGAACAATTTAGTGGTGAAGTGACCCTGAAAATGCAAGACCAATGCAGACCAATTGCATAGAAGTAATCAGACAATCAGAAAATTGACTACTCAAGTATCACATTCCAGAATTATTGGAGAAGACTGATTAAATTAAGCATGCATTTTGCGATGTGAATTTCTCAAAAATCTGTCCATATCATCTCTTTGAAACTTCGAATGCTTGAAATTAGAGGACATAATAATATGCTAGTTAAGCCAAAGAATTTTAAAGAAATCAACCCAATCGTTTGAATGAACAAGATTTTGAAGGATCTATAAAGAGGAAATAGGTAGAGAATCTTCGGTCAAGCGAGATCACCATACTATAGTTATCCACAGTTTATTAATGTACCTTTTATCGTGATTTACAGGTGAAGCAATATTGGGTGGGCCATATCATAGCTATTCACAGTTAATTAATGTACCTGTTATTGTGATTTACAGATGAAGCAATATTGGTTGGGCCCCAACTACACAAAAGAGGGTGTTGCCGGCAACGACATTTCCCGCACAAATGTCCCAGACATTAGGGTGTCTTATCGAGCAGAGACTTTGATTGAAGAACTATCCAACATTTTTAAAGAAGCCTCACAAAAAATTAGTAATCAGCGTGAAAGTAAATCATAGAAAATTATCTGCTCTCGAAACTTTATGGGAAGAGACCATGTTAATGAGCTCTTCTGATCTTTCAAATCATTAACAGCACTCAGCCTCATAATGTAATTTTTTCTTGGTTTGTCCTCCTCTTCTCTCTTTTAATTGTGACCAATTTTCAGCCTCAGTCATTTTTTAATCGAAGTAGAAAAACTTTACAATGTACCTTAAATGATCATTTTTATGTATCCTTTGGTGATAACGATTTTTAGAGAATCATCTCATGACATGTATTTTTAACCATCCACAGGAGAAGGGACCTTGGTTTTATGCGCTAGCAAAAATTTCAGGCGAAGTAGTTTTTGTCAAATTGAATTTTCGGCGGGAAAGACTTTTCCTAATTATAAGTTGTGAGCAATTCAGCTCAACTTTTTGCCAACAGAGGGCTCAAAGTTGCATTTTAATCTAACAATAATTTTAAACCGTACATATGACAGATTGAAACTTTGTTAAGCTTTACCTCAAAATTATAAAATGCGAACGTTACAACTACAAAAACAAATTTCTACTCAATGTGCCAGATTGCTTGTCAAATACTGCTATGAATAATGTTGCCAATATCTTAATGTTGATTTTTTGACAACAAGGTCCCTTCTAAGATAGATAGCCCTATCTCATAAAAATTAGGTAATTTGTTCGTCTTTCAGCTAAGCAACCATGTTGAATGTTTAACTCAATTACTTTATAATGCATCCCTCAATTGAGTATGTAAAACTGGCAGAATTTATTACAAATAAATTGAACATCTGCCTATTTTTGTGTTAATTTGCTCCAGAATCTACAAAATATTGTTTATTATGTAGTTATTGAAATCCTTGACTTATAATGGCATTTATAGTTTTAAACGTTTTTGAAACTATTTTGTTCTAAAATGATTTCTTTTTAGCCTGTAAGAATTTTATACACCTGTATGAAAACAAATTTTTCCAGAATTAAGCTAATTTTTCAGTGAACTGTTTAACAGGAATCAATTGAAATGATGTCAGATTGAATTTTTAAAGGTAATCCCTTAACTGCTGGAGAGTTCTAAAGATTAGCTTTGGATCTGGTGTGTCGTTAGTAGATCATCTAAGTCCGTGTTGTAAGGAATGGTGCCTGTCATGCAAGTTAAGAATATCCTCATAATATTAGTGAGGGAATTGAAGTTTAAGGTACTTAAGGTAATAAGTAAAATAAAAAAAAAATTCTAAATCTTGTCAGACTGCAGTAAGTATTATTTCTCACAAAAATCTCCTAAAAAGATAATTGTATCATGGCATAGTGAGAATATTTTTTATTGCTTGCTACAGTGAGCATCCTAAAATTTCCATAATGATCTTCCTGGGAGCTTTTGAAAGTTCAAGAATGGGGACTTGCAAAATCAGGAAAGCTGCAGTTGAAGTTCAGAAAGAATTTCATCAAAGAAAAAGTCCTTTAGTACCAATAAAAACAGACCGCCTGACTTATTATTTGAATCTTTCTCTCAAGTGGAATAACTCGTTGAATTATAAAAAATTGTCTTAATTCTTGATTATTCCCTCACCTAAAAGCAAAAAGATGAAACAAGATGGCATTGGCGCCTTTGCCTACCTCAGACATGGCTCATTTCAACTGCTTATTACATTCTCTTTTACATTTGTTGCTTGAGATTTTTATCCAAAGTTCTAGGAAGCATTATGAAGTAATTAGCAAGAGAAATAAAAAATTGCCAATTTACCTAAGTCCCTTTTTATTTGACTCAGTTTCTTGTTACCAAGATCATATAATGAAGTTAGAAACTATTTAGGTGTTACTCATGATCGTTAATCGTTAACGTTCCAAATTTTTTTTTCCATGAGTGCGCTTTGAAATCACTAAAGTGGTTTGTATCCTTGGACCCTTGAGTGAAAATTCTATTCTATCTTACTTTTAATTGTGATTTTTAGTACAATATATATTGTTTTTTCTTTTATTTCCTTTGTAAAGTTTGCATGATGAATTGTGTCAATTCGTAAAATTGATCCCCTTCCTTCATTCTTAATTCACATGTCTACTCATGGTTTCACTATCTTGTTTTGTGCCAATAACTTTACCATTAAAATATTAACATCTTTTTCTACTCGGATACATTTTTTTGTAGCTTTTATAGTCAATGAATTCATTCCTATAAGTTGACCGAATTGAATCAGACTATGTTCAACATGTTGACCAAACTGAATCAGACTATGTTCAATATGTTGACCGAATTGAATCAGATTCTGTTCAACACGTTGACCATTGAATCAGCCTATGTTCAAACGTAACATGTTCATGAAGTCAAATTCTACGGAAAGAGAAAAACCTCTTTACTTATTGAACAAAGTATCAGATGCTTGTCGTCCATCCAATTTCATACTTCTAAAAAAGTATGAGAAGTGAGTTAGTGACTGATTTCTAAAATCCTGCTTAACCATAGAGTACATAGAGTTGTGATGTAGATAGGAGAGCTGGTGCCATGTTCTGGTCGACGAGTTCCCAGCTCGGTGTGCACCGAGCTGTGGCCATTTTTTGGAGTCATTTTCGATCCAAAATGGCGATGTAGAATACATAGTAATTCCTATCCTCTTTGTTTACATCAGCTAGGTGTTACGGCGTGACACAGAAGTCTAGGATTTCGGGACCTGGAAAATATTTAAAAGTGGCACCAGCTCTCCAATCTACATTACGACTCTATGTGCTTAACTTACCGACGGTGTAAGTCGGCAATTACTTAACTTGGTTTGCGACGTCGCAGACTTCCTGTCATACTTTATTTTAAAAACGGAAAACTATTCATCGGCAATTCTTTAAAATTGCCGTCATTTTTCTTCTCTGTGCGAAGAAAATTTTGCAAAAACTTCCAAGGAATAATGTCAAATTGTTCTCCTTTAAAAAAATAACATAGAGGCGGATATTTCCACACACCGCAAACAAAATGTGATTGCAGACTTAAGCCATCCTTAAATTTAATTCAAGAGCAAATCGAATTGTTGGATTTTGTATGATCTAAAGAATTGATTTTTGTTTTCTAAAAAATAATCCAGTTTTTGCATAATCTTTACCCAAAAACTGGAAGTTCACTTAAAGCTGAGTTCCCCAGAAAAAAATTAATTGTTCTTTCTTTGATTTCTTAGCTCCCAACATAGACTGGTTCAAAAGTGCTTCCATTGACAGTGGAACCGAAAAAATAAATCAGTAATTTTTCAAAAATTAGAGAAATGAGAGGAGAGTTTTTCTTCCAAAAATAATCTCGCTTCCAGAACTAAAAATTCAAAATCTGCCAAGATTTTATACTTATGGATGCCATACATACTACGCTAGTTCGACCATGCCAGGGACTGGGATGAATCATCTCGAGCGAATAACATCATAAGGAATGGGTATATGTGTATGTAGTCAAAGTACTATTTATTTCACAGTTCATCAAAATGGGTAATTTGCAGAAAACGTGAATCTTTCTGATAAGTGATCATATGTATTCCCATTGATGTTTTCTTTGAAACTGATGCTTATATTTAAGGGAAGATAAACCTACATGTATTTATAATTAATTATTGATTTTTTCTAAAGATGAATTTACATGATTAAAGGACATACACTCCTTATGGAGATTTGTACGACGACCGGTTTTTAGTTTTTTATCGTTTAAAATTTGTCTGCAGTTGCTGATCAAAAGTCATCATTGCGACAACTTTCTACAAGGCACCGTTTACGCACAAAATCGTAGGAGAATTTTCAATAATTCCTTGCTTAAATGAAGGTAGTGCAGTACTCGAGTACAGTTGGGGTTGGTCAGGTGCGTGTAAATCAAATCTTGTGAACAGGAAAACCGATCTGCGTCCGAGCGACAGTCTTATCTCAGATTCCACAAGTCTTTTCTGTTCACTGTCCAAATCAGTTTCTTCTTCTTTCTCTCATTCCATTGTCCTTACTGGACAGCGCACACTGTGATTTGGTTTTAGCTAGCCTGTCCTGGGAATTACCGAAACTTTATTAGCATATTGTGCAAAAACAGTGGCTTGTAGAGAGTTGGCGCAATGATGACTTTTGATCAGCATCTATAGGCAAATTTAAAACAATAAAAAATTAAAAATTGGTCGTGGTACACAATCCCATAAGTAGTGTGCGAGGTCCTTTGTAATTTGTGAAGATTAATTGCCAACAGACCATGTTCATATCATTGGTATGCTTACTAACACGCTGCTACAGACAGGGGTATGGTACAGTTAGATTACTTCTATATTTAGATTTCAATGATTATTGCTTCTCAAGGACACTACTGGTGTGGTGGCATCATAGCATATTCTTGTCCTAGATCACTGAGATTCACCTTAATTTCATTGAAACTAATACTAAAAAAATGGACAGAACCACAGTATTCTAAGATTTTATATCAAATTTAATAGAAAAACCATAAAAAACAAGATTCCCTTGATAACATGAAAAATAACTTAATAACAAATGCAATTAGTGGGTAGAAAAAGACCATTAAACATGATTTAAAGTTAAAAACAAAACAAAAAATCAAGATTGGTGTAGTGTTAATTGAACCAATACTCTTGACATTGGGACAACTGCTTTCAGAGTTTTCACCATGATGTTGAATCATGATACATATTTTGTTACCCCTATCAATACCTCAAAGCAAAATAGGTACACATTTCAAACTTTTGGTAAAATTTAGTGAATAGTGTTTGAGAGTTCTCAGAGAACAGTTTTATCCAAGTAAGAATTATGATTGCCCTAAGTGGCGCTGCTTTCGAGGTACGGAAAGGTACCTATCCAAAATATGCGACCGACACTCAGTACCAATTTTCAGAAGGAAAGAGAGGAAGGGCTAGTTTTTCAATAGATATGAGGCAACATTTAAAATCATCGAGCAGAGGAAAATCTGTGTAACTCTGCCCTGATCTGTTTGTTCTCTGGGTAAAAAGCATTAGCAAAATCTTAAGTTCTAAATGGTGGAAAAGCATTTCCTTCCTCTACAGATCAGATGCCCTATAGTTATGAGACTGACAAAGAAAGAAGCACATTGTAGGCCTCATGTCTGAGAATAAAGAATAAAGGGGGGGGGGGAGGAAGTAACTTATGAGCTACATGCAGGAGGACCACTGGAAAAAATATTTAAAAAAGATCAGATAGAAAGTTAACTAAAAACTTGACATTAATTTAAGACTGCTCCTTATAAATAGTGTCCATAAAGGATGCTAACTTAACGTCTTTGTTGCTGAGACCGCCACAATCGTGGGTGGAAAGGGTGACTTGCACTTTGTTGTATACATTGAACCATTCTGGATGGTGATCCATCTTTTCAGCAAGTAAAGCTGTCCTTGTCATGAATCCAAAAGCCTAGTCAAGAAAAGAAGAACAAACGTTTCTTAAAATTGTTCCTTAGGAATTTAAAATGAATGGCCTTTGATCGGTTGATTTCACCCTTAACTAAAACTTTGAGAGACCTGTTAGAGTTTGTCTTGGCTTTTTTCTGCTCTTATGATAGAGAAGGGAACTGTCAGTCAGGTCAAAGGAGAGGTGACATTAAGGGTCAGGATCAGCATACCAAAAATATTACAGGGCATTTTGGGTATTTTGGGCATTTTTTGGGCAAATTTCAATTAGACACTGTGGACGTAAAAATTATCTGATGTTCAAAATCTAAAAGTCTCCTGAGAGAGGAGGTCAATACCTTATTACTGATGTGCCTCATGACCCCTGTTGATCCAAAATTATGGAGGCCACAACCCTCCCAAAATTTTGGCAAGAGTATGTTTTGACTTTAGATTTGAGTTCTATGCGGAATGTTGCATAAAACTGATATGGCGCACGGCCTATTTGCCCCTTTTTTCCACCAAACATACACGGCTTTTTAGGGGGAAATGGGGTTTTAAAGTAATTTGGAGTATATAGGCTGTGCGCCATGTCAATTCTACACAACTTTCTGTATAGAATTCAAATCTGAAGTCAAAACATACCCTTGCCATGTAACATTTTTGACTTACGACCCTCCAAAGCCCCAAAATTGATGGGGGCTTGTGGCCTCTATAATTTTGGAACAACAGGGGTCATAGGGCACATCAATAAAACAGTATTGATCTTTTCTCTCAGGAGACTTTCCCATTTTGAAAATCGGATAATTTTTACATCTACAGTGTGAAATTGAAAGCCCAAAACATGCCCTGTAATTCCCAAAAATGGGGGTTTAGGGGGAAAAAGGCATAGGACAAAAAGTTCTTATTTTTTGCCGAAGAATTTTAACCCTAAGTCAAAACATACCGTTCCTATTTTAAATACACTAGAAACAAGGGGCACCCTCCTTATATCCCACCCCCCATGGGATTTTGGTGGGCTGAAAATAATTTTGTTGAACTCCTTGGGGTTGATTAACACCTGTAAATTTTTTTTCCGAAACTCAATTTTTCGCAGTTTCCGAGAAAAAGATAGTGAAAAGATCCTCTGGAACACTCAGTAGGTATGTAAAAACAAAATGGGTACAGTTGTTTAAAGAGGGCTAAGATGAGAGAAACACAGACTGCAGAATCAAACACAGAAAATGGGCACAAACCTCATTGAAATTTTTGAACAAAAATTCTCTGTAAATGGCATCCCTGTTTTCCACTTTGGACCATCCGTCCTTCAGCAAGGGTTCCAATTTGTTGGCTCTTTCATCTGTTGTTAATTTCACGGACTAGACAGAAAGAAAAAAAGACATAAATGAGTGATTTGTAGGTACATCTGTGAAGACACAATAATTCAAAACATGTAGCAAAAAATGGTCTCATTATTTAGGGTGGTCTGGGTGGTCCACAGAGGCAAATCGTGAAAATTGTAACAGAAACCCCATGGCTCCTGAATCCCCTACCCCCATTTTAGTGAATGGCAAAAAAATGAATAATGTCATCGGAAAAATCAGGACTTCCCTTTGGTTGATACGAAGAATCCTTGTTGAAATCTCAATTCTCAAACCTAAGTTGATTATCAAACCTCCTGTAGCATTCTTATCATTTTCTACATTAATTAGAAAGAAAAACATGCGGCATTTTTCCCTAGGTCAGATCTATTTGCCCACTGGTGCTGAGGTATGTTACTAACTATGCAGGCGTTTCAAAGACAATCATAGATGACATGGAATATCTGCACTTTGGCTGATGAAAGTACAAGGGTCATTATGGACCATATGGTCACATTTCCATGAGTAGAGCTCGCTCATGGCATGTTGAGACAGAGGTTAAAACTTGTTGATATCAACGTATATTTGCAGGGTCATATGGAAGCATGCATACCTTTATGTAGTGCCTGTTGAGTAATCAAGGTCTGTTTGACCATACGATGAGCAAGCTCCAACAACAGAGAAAGTTGTCTCTGATACCTAGCTTCTTCAAAAAGATAAAGACGGCTCCTGGTCATTGGTTATCAGAGAGAATGAAAAATGCTGATTAACTTGCCCTTTTCGCCAAAGAGGCTGTGAGCAATCAGGGACAGCTCTCATAATTCAGAGCAAGCATTCGAAGAGGCCCGACCAGACTTACCTTATGCTCTACTTCAGCTGCATTGCGCTATTGTACCAGGAACTTCTACTGAGTGACACTGGTGGGTATTTAGTTAGACAATGAGGAATTCACTTAAAATATGCAGTGAGTACTCACCATCGTTTTTTTGCCGAACGTTGCTCTACTTGTACAGAACTTGCGTGCCTCCAATCCGCGGACGATAACTGGAGAGAAATGAGATACTGCAATGTACCAAGGCCTTGTATGCAAGGTCATGTGGTAGGAAAGCTATCTTCGTTATCGTTATCGTTATACGTACTATCTATCCTATCTATCTCAGTTGATAACGCTAGAACGGTAAACGTATTTTGTTGTCTTTGTGGTTTGTAACAGACATTCACTTAATTGAAGAGGAAGGTAGGTTACGTATAACAGGAACACTGAACAGGTAGGAACATGCTTCGGTAAATCGATTTTTTTTGTAATGAACACTTACACCCACATACTACTCACTGTCAAGTCAAGTGTCAACATTCCTTCCTATCGTAACACCATGGGAAGAGCATATATGTACTAAGTAACTACTAATGTTGCTCATGAGTTCAGTTGTGAGGAAATACACGCATTAGCCAATGAGATTGAGGACTCAACAAAGAGTTGACTTTGTTTCACCAATAGCTTCACGGCAAAATGGCTCAACTTAGCCCAACTGCCCAACTTTGTTGCCCTACCCTCTCCTCTCTGTTCTCTATGCATGTCTATGCTGTGACAGCTGTCAACCCATGTGCTTGCTCTTGCGGGTTCTGTCCTGTCGGTTCTGTTCATGCTTGTTGTGATCGCATGCATCGCATTTTCGCCGACTCCGACTCTTGCTAAAGTACCTACAGAAAGTAGAAATAGAAAGTTTGAGGTTGAATATTAGGTGTAGACATATCGGCATCAAGTATCTATGTAAGTATCCGACGGCCGCCTACTCGTGCGAACGTCTTTTGCCCTCTCTCTTTAAGAACTTCGCCAGTTCGTAAATGTTCAGTTTGTTTAATTCATGGCATGATTGTCATGGATTTACTGTCGGTCACCTACCACTCCACACCATTTACCTGTAGGAGAACCTTTTTCATAGGCGTGAACAAGCATGCCTGGAGATCGAGTTTCTTTGAACTTCATCGAAGAGCTCTCTCTCCTATCATTTGTGCCCATCAGTTTGTCGTCTCAAAACAAAATTCATCTTGACAATATCAGTCTATCATCCAATTCATATGCAGTTCGCACAATGCTCGCATTACTTATTGCTTTGCACTTAGACACTTCCTTTTGGGTAGCCGACTAGAACTCATGCAAGACAAGTTGATGCCTGTTTACTGGAGTGATCATTTGCTCACTATTCTGAGTAAATCTTGTCAATAGCTTGATTTGTCTTGTCTGTTGAAAAATTTTGCATTTTGAACATCTAATCACAGCTGAGAGTGTTGTTGCAGGACTGTTTCAATATCTTGACCCACAACTTGTATAGTTCTTAGGTTCTGAGGATTACTTATTGTAAAATCGCTAATGGAATCAAATCTAAGATTACTTTCATGCCATGTGGTGGGGAATGCTAGACCATGCTTTTGAAGTTTTATCTAGAGAACATAATTTGTCTCGTGACCTAGCTGAAGACATTAATAACTTGTCATAGTCTGTGAATTTGTGGAAGATGTTCCTCCTTGCCTGAACGGGAGGCTTCCTAGGAGCTCATTGATACCCCCTGCTCCCCTTTGCAAACAGGGATTCGACAAGCAACCTGAAGGTCTCCATTTTAGAAAGAGGAGAACCTCGATCGTTAACTATCAGAAATTTACTCTTCTTGTCCAAAGCAATTGTGTTCCTGCCTGCCAATGGACATGAAGGATTGATGGGACATTCAAGCCTCTCCTCCCAGTCAAATTGGAGGCTTTAGGTAAGGGGCTCATGGAGAGGTGTGTGAGCCCATGTATCTCCCAGTGCGATTTTTGTTTTGTTTAGAGTAGCTGCAGCACTGGCGTAAGTAGAATGTCTTTATGTGGGGGAGGGGGGGGCAGGATGGCACCTCATACAGGGAGAAGGGGGCTCTAAATGACACGTATTCAAGGGGATCTGTGAGACTCCCCAGCTGCAACGCACGATTCTGGGTAGTGCCTTAGTTTCTAAGGAGAGCTCAGGGGGCCTCTCCCTGAAAACTTAAAAAAATTGAATTGTCTCAGGAGCGAGTTTGAACTGCTCTTACTAACAAATAGATTGAATGAAAATTAAAAATATATCTTGCTTATTCAGCTAAATCCCTTACATTTCTTGAGAAAGGCCAAGTAGATTTCTGGAAGAGGGGGGGGGGGCATGAATTCAGCCCTTGGGCTGCAGAATCAACAGGCTTAAAGTATGAATTTTTTAATGAAGTTCTCAAAAGTGGGAGGTATGCAGAGTTTTACAGTACCTGTTTTTCAAACATTTTTCTGATCATACTTAGTGGAGAAATGAAGCTCTGGAAGTTGAGGAGTTATCAGATACAGAGTTTCCTCAGACTCCAGGAACTATTTAACAAGGCGCTCAACCAATAATTGTAGGTTTTGTCATCTGAATTACATGCTAATGGAGGCCTCATATGAATTGAAGAATATAAAGTGTTTTGACAAGACTAGTTTCTTTGGGTAATCATGGATAGGTAAATATTTTTCTCAAAGTTATTTCTCGGCAAAAATTCAGGAGTTTGCATATTGCTCTAAAATGATCCAATCGCGTCAACTTTTTTTAAAGCTTCAATTTCTACTCAACCCTCTTTAAAACTCCATTTAGAGCCTGAATCTGAGACAAGCAGTTTTAATGTAAATTACCTACCCTAGGCATCTCACCTCCCTTGATTATTTTTACTGAGATAGGGGAGACAGGGGTAAAGAGAAACCTACCCCCCCTGTTTCTGAGCTTCCTAATTAGAGTGAAAAATTGGAAAAATTAGGGTATATCAGTCACCTTATGAGAAATTATTACCCAACGTTTGAACTCTATCATTACAATAGAAAGTATAGTTTTTAATTATTTTTTTCTCCCATTTTTCAGGTCTTGCTTTATCCTTACGGGGTAAAGAGAGACCTGGTCTGCATTGCTTCATATCTTGCATGGGAAAAATATGGCAGGGTATCGAGAGTCTTCTACTGATAGATTCTGATTACCATTTCCAATTTCAGGCCAATCGGATGAATTTTTCATGAGTCACTTACACGTGTTTCAAATTTGACTATGGAAAGTTCACAAATTCAATTAAAAAACTGAGCTTTAAATTTGTATTAAAAACATAAAAAAAAATGCAAAAGTTGGGCTTAAATCTAGCTAAACCATGGGGCTAAACCATGAAACGAAGTTGAACATTCAAAACTTGCTTCAATGAAAATTTTGGCATTGAAATCTTGATGTAAAAGACCTCTAAAATGTGGCATTTCTTACTAATCCTAACAAATTTACGATAAGGTGCAAAAAGAGACATTGGCTGCCAGCCTTGTTTTGAATGTAATTGTAAACAAAAATTAGAGGCATACCGTACATATCTTAAGATACAAAATTGGGTGATTCTTTTTGTTTTTAAAATGGAGTTTATTTACTGTAATCCACAAAAACTTTGGCGCGAGACAAACTTGAAAACCGACTAAAAAAAGTGATCGTGTTCACAAACACTTCCTGCGGTCTGCTGCCGTTCGATCCGGTCCAAAATCGGTAGAGGAACGTAAAAATGAGCTTATAGACCATTCCTTCTTGTTTAGCCACTTAAATCTAAAACAGGTAGAAGCAGGAGCAAAAATCTCCCATAATTCTAGTATCTCTTTACTCTGATCTTTTTTAATGTGCCCCCCATATTTTTTTTTTCTTATTTGGTATGACTTTAATGTAATTTTCTCTATATCTTATCTTATTTTAGGTGTTAGGATGAGCCTTTCGGAATTGAAGGCTATCTTAAAGTCAATTTTAATAACGTCACCTCAGCAAAGTCTCATCCCTCTAGATCTTTATAGAAAATTTAGGAAGGAAGAAGGATATCACTTTCCGTTCAGAAATCTGGGTTTTCGAGACTTCGTCGAATGTCTCTGCAGCCAAAATTTATCGGATACAGTTAAGGTATTTCTACAATGTAATTGAGCCATTTATCTACTTATGATTGAATTCCATCTTCCTGCACTCAGCATTAGTGACACAAGTTGGTGACCATACGATCATAGCCAGGGTGACAGCATGACTCTGCAATATGCACAGTATTCTCACAACAGAGGGGGAAAATCTCATATGGAGGACAACGTCGTTCTTGGAGTCATGCTGTCGGATGCAACAACAATTATGTCCCATCAAAAACCCAACTGCAGACTCCCTTTTGATTTATTTGACCTTGTCATCTGTACAGCGCAGCTTCCTGATTTTCTGTTTCCACTCATGGAGAGATCTTTAAAACTAAATGAAGATTAGGCAAGTGGACGCAGCAGCCAGCAAGTCTGTCAGCCATCTATCAAGTACTTATCCATACACCACCCCATTTGGCTTGGCAAACTATAGTCACCAAGAACAAAGGCGGCTGGGTGCACCAGTTTATAGACAGAAGTTGTTGATTTTATAATCAGAGCCAAGGTCACAACATTATCCTGCATTACGCTGAGTATTCTCACCCTAAAAAATAATTTAAAAAAAAATGAAATTATGAAGGGTACATTATACAATTATAGAGTCAAGAGAGGTGCAATGCCTAGGATAGGTAATTCACAAAAATACTTTGTTTATCAGATTTAAGCTCGAACACAAGGAGTGTTGCAGGAGGGTTTGTGTACAAATTGAAGCTTTGAAAAATTTTGGTATAACAAGAGCAAATCAAGATTGCATAAACTTTTGGAACTTTTGACAAACATAGGTTCTCTTGTGGTTTCTTTTTTATCACTTGGTAATTAATTGAAGTGTTTGCATCTTTGTAACAGATAGTCATTCTCTTTTATCAGGGGTTACGCCCCATGGCTGCTATGCGGCCCAACCCGGAGAGAGTGCTTTTAGTCAGTGAGATAATCTAAATAGAGCCTCAAAAATCATGAAAATCGTCTCAGTAGATCTTTCGAAAGAACTGTGACAAAAGATGAACATTTACATTGTCTAAATGTAATAATCCTTAACTTCATCAGATGATATACAAAAACTTGAGTTTTATTTCCAGAAACTGAGTAGAGCTGGCTCGTGTAGGGTCTATTACCTCATTAGTAGCAAAAATTATGGAAATGAGAGACTGAACTGTGACAAAAAACGAAAATTCAGGAGGTCAAAGAGCTTACAGGAATGATAGTTGCAGAGAATTTACAATTTCTAGTTTCGGAAGACAGATGTAGTGTTGTTGGGCAAGTAGTCACTTTCCAAGCCTGAAAGCACGTTTTTAATGGCTGATTTGATTTGTACAAACAACAAAATTTGTGTGTGTAAACTGGAACTCTATTCTTACCCTTTCTGAAGGTCTATCAATGATATTTTTAGCTCTCTGAAATTAGTCCTCTTGTATTGTAAAGGGTGGTGACGGTAGGCCAGAAGTTGACTGGAAAAAATGTTCATCTGTTCGTAATCAAAAGATGATTCAAGTAATCATATCTAAAATTTTGATCACATCTTTCAGATAAGTCAGTTTATCAGATACCATTAGGTGAACTACTGCTATTGCCTTCTGTCTAGGTGCAGGGTTTCATGACTAAACTGTATGATGGTCACCTGTTGTCAGGAAAGTTAATCAAATATTTTTATTTAATTTATATCAGTGATGATGTTGCGTAATTCCTGTGTAACTAAGTGAAGAGCAAAATCATTTTAATTAAGGAAATTCTGCCTCATTATGATGGAAAGTTGAAATTCTGTTGAAGTGATAGGAGTAATAGTAACTTAAGGTCTGTGGAATCGGTCAATTCAGCCAATTTGGTCTTTTATTTTGCATAATCATGTCAACATTGCTGAGCATACAGCAGTTCAAGTTCCAGATGAATGCATCAAATTGAAAAACTCTGTGAGACTATGAGAAAAACTTCAGGAATTTAGAGACGGTTTAAAAGTGGACACCCTCACACTTACAGTGGAACAGACTACCCCAAGGAGTATGGTGTGCACACCTTTAAATTCCTCCCCCTTCCCACAGTGCACCTTCATTTTCAAGCCGAAGCTTTTAGCAGGTGACTGCCCCTGGAGTCCGCCTCAGCCCTCCGATTGAAAATAGTGCATCAGGTTCTAGCTGCAAGTTAGAATATTTCAAATATGATCAACCATACCCACACGAACCTCTCCTCTTTTTTTTTTTTAGAATGGTTCAAACAATCAATCCCTCGTTGATGCAGTGATTCATCTGCAACTAAGCCATATCTAGTTCCTCATTGAACAATATCTGCCAACAAATATAATCATGTGTCATAACATAGAAGCTATGTAATAAGCTGTCGCATACAAGGAATACCATTAGGTGTTCAGTTTTATGCAAAGAAGAAAATATTCCCTCCTTGAGCTTTTGAAACATCTTGATCTAGTAAAATATGTCCCTACTCCAAGGCCCTCATTCTGGAAAAAGGTTTAAAAAGGAAGATCAAGGGGGAAAAATGGAAAAGGCGAAGAACTAGTTTCCAATTTGGATTTGAAAGTTTTATGCCTCATCTCTTTTTTGCAGGTTGAATTTCAGGACAGAGGTCCTATGGTCTTCCCAGTAGAATTTAAGAAGGCAAATTCTCCACCTGTAGAAAAAATCTCTAAACCAAAATTTCCTCTAACGTGCAAGGAAAGTGAAAATCCAGCGCAGCAGAGTGAAGAAAACCTAAACATGAACTGTAAGCGTTTCAGCGTAACTAGTATTTTTTTTTTACTTATTCTTTTCTTCGTTTTTGTTCAGATACTACTAAGGGTTTTTTTCCCTTTATTGCATAATCTCTCTCCGTAAGTTCTAACATTTTCTGGAAGGATTGGATGGCAGACCTCAAGTCTGCCAGTCATGAATGAATGAGGAGGGATTTATGATCCGTTTATATGGCTGAAGAAACCAAGAAATCTTTGTGACAGGATCTGTAAAGAGACCTCATCTTCCGAAAATTCAAATTTCAGTTATTGATACCACTACTTAGAGTAAGAGTATCCAGAAATTTTGGTGCAATTTTGACCCGGGAGGCTCAAAAATTGAGGGAAGTATGATGTAGGTACTGAAGTTGCAATACAAGAATTCCTCAGTTCTAGGTTAAATCTAGATTAAAAGTACTGACATGCACACAGAAATGGAGAATTTGCAAGGGTCTGAAATTTGATGAATTTCCTGTTTATAGTCCACGCCACGAAAAGTGGCGGCTGAGGGGCGGAGCCAGTCGGCCGGTCCAGTCTATTGTTGAAGGGTTGAAGCGCAGATATTGGCCCGTGGTTGAGCGACGACCGGCCGGGGTGAGTTCACACTGAACCTTGAACCCGGCGCCCGGCGGCGTGGCATCCAGCGTTAATTGGGGAGAATACGCGGCGCGATGCGTCGCGCTGGATGCCACCCCGGGCACCGAGATCAAGGTGCGCTCAGTGTGTACTCACCCTGGCCGGCCGTCGCTCGACGCGTGTCTGGGGTAATGACTGGGCCTATACCTGCGCTTCAACCCCTCAACAATAGGACTGGACCGGCCGACTGGCTCCGCCCCTCAGCCGCCACTTTTCGTGGCGTGGACTATAAGTGGAATCCTCTGAGTGAACTGAACACGAAGATACCCTTGATTCATAAATTGAGCAATTATTAGAGGAGATATGACAAAATAACCGATTCTGCTAAAATACATGTGTTTAAATGGGAAATGCCGCCAGATGACGTCACAAGGCGGCACATTTTCTCACTTTTAAATCAATTTTTCTCCAATTTCCCATGTCAGAAAAAAATTATGAAAAATATTGCGAACTCAGCTCATTAGGCACTTTCAGATGAAGCAATAAAAAAATTGCGTGCAAATTCTCCATTACAGCAAAGGAGCAGCTAGCATCCTTTATGGTGAGAAAATTAAATCAAAACTGTATGTAGCTTGTTCAAAGAGCTTCCAGGGAGTGTTTCCTGTTGAGAACTCAAAATCGCCAATTTTTCAGTTTTCCCTGAAATTTGGCTCTCTTGTAAAGATTTCTCCTAAAACGTGAGATCCCTTTTCACAGATCCGGTCACATTTTGATAACATTCTAAAACAAGAAAAGCTTTCTATTTCTGGCTTAGTCATTAAAAGCACCTGCATCTGCATAGGGAGACGAAGTGGATGCATTTCTTTTCTGAAATGAGCCAGGATTTGCAGTGCCTCATTTCTAGATTTAGAGATGGATTTACTTTTTAGTAAATTCCTTGACCAAACCCTATTTGCATTACAGACAATGAAATGCACGGGTTTGAAAACTTTGAACGCAATTTTTTCAAAACTCAAAAACTCCACATCTACTATTTGAACATGTGTGATTTCATGTGCACGTTTGTAAAAAAGTGCGTTTAAGCTTTCCTCACCGACCGTATATAGATTTTTGTTCAGTCCCTTTCATCTGTATTGTTTGCAACCACTGGCGAAGTCCTGAAAAATGATTGCCGATGATTGATAATTGAATGACTCATGACCGTGAGGCACAAAGTGAATGGGTGGGACAGGCAAGTAGTGTAAAGGTGTCTCAAGGACGGATTGGGTTCTCTTCTCCGACTTTTTAATTCTTCTGTAACTAAACTTGAAGCGACTAAATCATGCAAAAGCTGAAATTCAGCATGATAATTATCATGATGTAAGAGTGTTTATATGTGTGGAATAAAGATAAACACCTTCAAAAATATATTAAATTATGCTGCCAAGATTAAAATATAAGAAATGACTTGTCTCTCCTCCCCCCCCCCCCCCCCCCAAAAAGTATTCGGATGGAGTGCCGTCAGCATAAGTAAACATAGAGTTATTTTTGCCAGTAAAACCTCAAGTATTTCTGTTAATACAAATGAACCAAAAATATTTCAAGGTGCTCATCAACTAAAACGTTGTGGGAATATCCATACAATCTAGTTGTTTCTGCATTTTTCTAACTACAATTCGAATATTTTTCAGCTGATCCAGGAAAAGTTTACTGCTTCTGTGGCTTGCGAGCAAAAATGTAAGCAAAACCAAAACTTAGTTCTATTTGAATGGAGTTTTAAGGAATTCATCGAGCCAGATTTTGGGGAAAAATGAGTTTGGATTAGTTCTGAATTCAACTAGTCGTAAATTTTGAAAGTGGTAAAGTCAGGAAAAATGTTTTCAATATGAAAATAGTCATTGAAATTTTTCTTCAATATCGAATCTTATGGAGGAATAAAACTTCAAACCTCGGTTTCTCAGCTCAAACTTGATGGGTTTCTGTTGAACTTGCATTATTTCATCTCGTCGAAAGATACACAGGTTGTGATCATAGATCATTCAGCCAAGGTGACTTCACATCTCTGCTTCATGCTGAGACTCTTGCTGCGTGGAGGAAAAAATTCATTTTGAGTATAATTTACCCCTTTGGAATTATGCTATTTGGGGTTCAACACTAGGTACAAATCAATTTTAGATGTATTTTGGCTCTACTTAAAGCCATCATCTGTACAGCGTAGCTCTCTGCTTTCATTCTTGAGAAGGTCTTGAAAACTAAACCCAGATCATGCAAGCGGACGCGGTGCATAGAGTACACTAGGGGGCTAAGCCCCCTGGCCGCTACGCGGCCCAACCCCCTGAAGGCGCTCCGCGCCATCAATGGGCCGCTTCGCGGCCCTATTTTTTTCTTCCTATTAATGTTGATTTTATTTTTCCTCTGAAAAATTACGATATAAGGTATACTTTACTCTTAGAATGAAAAGATTTTTGTTTTTGATAAGTAAAGAAAAACAAATTTTTTTTGAAGTCAATGTAACGCGTTTTGCAATGACTGATTAATGAGACATTGCAGTAAAACAACGAATAATGATAAACGCCTGCTGTCAAAATTAAAAGTAGCTGAGGAGTCAGGAATCGATCCCACATCTTGAAAATGTGGACATCTCCGATGGTGTAGAGTAGACAACTCGGCTACCGATCATCATGAGATAATGTGGGCGAATTTGTGTTGATAAGTAGAGCTGATGCGCAGGCTACACATCCACTGCGCAACCTTTTCGACCACTGCGCATCCTCCCGCGCATAGCGGTAGCAGTCCCGGAGCATTCCGTAAATCCACTCAATTTTATAACGTAATTTTAAAAAAACCTGGGTTCTATTTCCAAAATCTAATTAAGCGGGCTCATCTAGGGCCAATTACCTGTCGATTTACGCAAAAATTATGGAAATCGGCCCGGCAGAACGCTCAAACGAACTATGACAAAAAGTATAAATTTACATTGTTTAAATGGGAGAATTCGCAACTTTACCACGTAATATAAAAAAACCTGGTTCATATTTTGAAAATCTGAAAAGAGTTGGCTAATCTAGAGACAATTGCCCGTTGATAGCCGCAAAAATCATGAAAATCGGTCCGGTAGAAGGCTGGAACTAAGCGTTACCAGTTACGCAAAATTAGGATGTCTCGGAGCTTATAGTATAGATAGAGTCGTCATGTAAGTGGGAGAGCTGGTGCCACTTTCAAGCATTTTCCAGGTCCCGAATTCCGAGACTCCTGTGTAACGCCGGGTCACTTTTTCGATACATTATTGATTGTTTGCAATACACGGGTATCCAGCCATCCAATGTAAATAAAGAAGATAGGAATTACCACGTATTCCACACTGCCATTTTGGATCGAACATGTAAAGAAAAAGTGACCGGGCTCGGAACTCGTTGTGCAGAACATGGCGCCAGCTCTCCCATTCACATTACGACTCTATGTACTCTATGACGCGGTGGCCAGCACGCCATTTAGTGAGCAATTGTCCTAACAGCATTGCACAAGGTCTTTTTTCCTGCCTCTCTAATTAGCCCTCAAACTGAATTTGGTGGGAAACTTTAAATTTGGATTCCAATAATACGTAAGAATCAACATTTTGAGTTAAACTTTTTTGACCTCTTCCTTCCGTTCATACCCTTATTTGAAATCAATCGGGACCCTTCAATGGATAGATAAAATGACTGCCTCAGAACAAAACAGCTGGTTACTTTGGACCTTTGAGAAAGAAAAATAAATATTTTTAGTTTTTACTAAGTAAAAGCTCTAAATGGCTGACGAAGTTTGGGAAACATGATGTTTTGCGTATTTTGGATTTTCCAGTAATTTTATATGCTGAATTTGATGGGAAACTGTGAATTCAGATTCCAAACATTTTTCGAAGAGCCGATCAAATCCGGAAAACAGAAACAAATTAATGGAATCATGTGTAGTTTTTTCAATTAATTAGGTTGACTTACAGATTTTGGATAACTGTTATTTACGTGAGTGTTCATTAAAAAATAATAAAGAAACTGATACTTTGCACCTCTTTGTACCTTAAGACAATTTATGGACAAAGACGCTCTTAGGTACGCGCTCTGCTTGCTAAACTTCAACTAAATTTTGCAATGGAGCTAACAGTATGAACTTGCAACTCAATTGAACTAGCAGCAAAGTACCTTACCTGAACCATGCTTGATATTTAAAGGAAAAAACTGATAAGAAAAAAGATGATTTCAGGAACCTTTTTCAAGGAAAACAGTGAGATGGCACAAATCAGGAATTGTCCCTCCTAATTCCAATCATTGAATTGAAAACATGAAAAACTTATTTGTATCTGTGTAGTCTGCTCTGAATTTGCCCTGTAAGCCACATTTCACTTCTTTCACACTTGTTAAATTTAAAAAACAGACACCAACTTCAGTTAAAAATTACACCAAAATATGGAAAACCTTGAAAATGGGTCATAGCTGTGACAAAATGGCATTTCAAGCAACATCTCCCAAGTTAGGTGTTCGAAAATTAGACCCTAAAGTCAGTTTTTCCGTCAGAAAATATGATGAGAAACTGAAGCTCACATGAATCATTTGACTACGTGCAAAGACAGCATTTTAGGCTATATCTACTTCCTTTGAGAAATGTCAATGCAACCTGTTTAAATTTATCAAACCCCCATCTTTAGCGTTTATTCTGGAAGTAAGTAAAAAAAAAAAAAAAATATTTCCTACTTTTAGAAAAAAATAAGGAGTTGTCATCCATTAAAGACGTGTGATAATCGTTTCATTTTGCAGGTATTGATCCTATAAGAATTTAATTCATGAAAATGTTTCCTTGTTCAACTTAGGTACACTGTCAGGAAGGAAACTATAAATCAAGGAAGGCAGTTTTATTTTTGCGCTCAACGCAGCGATGGTGGTTGCAAATTTGTTCTCTGGGCCGACACTCTAGAAACATACTGGTATCAGTACCATGGGCCCTTGATCAGCGCTACCCTAGATTTTAGTAAGTTTGAAGGAGTAACTCATTGATTTCTGAAACCACAAGGAATTCCTGAGAAGTATTGAGAATGTTCCAGAAAGACCTGAGCGAGTACTCTAATTCCAATGCACATGAAAAAGTACGCATAAAAATAATGTTGGAGACTAGAACTACTTCCTTTCAACAAAAATTGACCGAGTTATGGTAGTTTGAAAATGGGATGTATTTTTCGTGATTAAACTTTCTAAAGCTCGTTTGCCATTGATCCTCCTCTCGATCAATTCTTTTTTGTGTCTCTTTTCAAATGAAATCAAGATCAGTTCGCTAAACTGCTTAGTTCGTGAATTAAAATGCCAAGGCGAGTCTATTCAGGACACCTATGTATTTCTTAGAAATATCACAATTTTTGTACGACGCAAATTAAGTGAAACTTGATTAATCTTAAAAATAACTGTAAAATAGTTGAAAACACACTTATGACCCAAATATGCAAGTGCTGTGTAACAGAGTACCACCAGACAAGGTCAAGCAACCACAATTTCTCATAGGACACAATGAACAAATGAACAGTTTGTAATTTCTACTCATGATCGATTAATTAACGTTTTTAGCATACATAAATTCACTTCGAAAGAATTAAAAACCCTGAAGAACTATGCTCAGAATACCCAGAAATTCCTTGCCAGGTTAATTTCAGTATCATTCGGTATTATGAAGGGAATTATATAAATTTAAATAACAGTAAACATAATGTTGGAGTTTTTTTGCCAACGTGCGTTAAAAAATTCAGCATAAAGCTGAAAATCTCAATACAGTAAACATATTATCACAAAGGATAAACCCTGTTGGACAATTTTTTGGAACATCACTCCATCCTCAGCTCAAATTGAGACTGACTGTTCCCTTGCTGAGTACAGGGGGATGCTCTGAAATAAAAGTCCAACAATGAAGTGAGTTAACTGAGATTTTAAAATGTTGACAGTTGGTTATATCCATTAATCATTTCTTAGCATGTCCCTGAAGACTTTCTAAGCATGGTGGGCTTTTAAATGGAACTTTATGTATCAGTGCAAGGAAAAGTAGGGCTGAAGACATGGTTTTTCAGCCCTTTTGCACAAATTTTCTTATATAAATCTGGAGCTATTGCTATGTGTGTGTGGACGTTGCGCCATACTTTTTTATCATTGGGAGGAGTCTGATTCTTTACATCTGTCTTATCTTGTTGGTTTGTGAAGAAGCAAAAGATCTTCTTGATTTAACAAGATGTTGCAACATGTTACTGTTAGATCGTTTATCTTTCGATCTCAGAAACTACCGAACCGATTTGCTTCGGATTTGGTTGAAATGAAAGCTCTCAGGTTTTAGATGTGCAAGCACCCCGTAGTTTTTTTATTTTTATGACCGCCGTTGCAAAATAATGCGCAACTCAATTGAATTTATTTTTAGCACTATAGTTTGATGTTTTTAATGGAGAAATATCGTAATATTGACTAAAAAATTGAGAATCTTAAGTGTGCAGGAGCTTGAAAAAATTAACACATTAACAGCTTTTATTCAAAATTATTTTTGCTAGTCTTACAATTAGTGGGTTAGCAGCTGAATGTCATATGATAGGAGGGATCTCCCATTAACTGATTATCTGGGTCCCTCTCTACATAAACTCATTGTTACCTGCTCACAACGTATGATTCCCTTCTACCATAGCACAAGTCCTGTATCAGTGACACTCGCTTCCTTATGCTGACCTTTGTCGGATCACCTGATACGCATTTTCTATGTGTTATTACTCATCATCAATTTTCGGTTTATAGATTTCTTGTGTTAGTGTGTCTGACATCTCACTCTCTTACTTTGTCGTCCATTTTTGATGATATTTCTGACATCTCACTCTCTTACTTTGTCGTCCATTTTTGATGATATTTAGATAACATAATTTTTAGTTGTTTTTTTCAAGAGATACTAATCTTTAATTTGGAAGTACCGCGATTGTATCGGAGATTGACTCAGTAGTTTTTATTATTATTAGCCCGTTTTTTGTACTTTCTGGGTTTTTAAACTTATTATTTTGCCCACACTTCAACTTATGTGGGATATGTTTTCTTGTCGTCACAGCCATTCCATCAGAAGTTTGTGTTCTGCCAGACATTGGTCTAACGCACCGTCAAATTATTTCCCATTTGGTCACTCATTAATGAAAAAAAATTTACTCAGAATATGATAACATTACTGGAGGTGGCAGAATTTGCCAACTTTCTGCCCGACCTTGGAAACAGAACATATCCCTAAGCAGACAAAGACGATTTCAACGTCACTGATTTGTCATAAGAACATCAAAGCAGAAAATCATGTAACTAGCAATATGTACGGCAAAATATAGCATCATTGACTGCAACCAAGTTAACAAAAAGTACCACCCTGGCACCAAAAAATTAACATTGCAATGAAATACATGAAAGCACTTTCTATACTACCAGACCAATGGATCAATACTACCGTACCGCAGTGTCAACAGGGTCATTGTCGATGAGGAGAGGAAGGTTCTGAACTTTCCGATGGAATTTTAGATAGCCTTGATGTAAGCAGCTTACCTCCACATGCGGTCAAGTTGAGATGGGGACTGGTCGTTCCCACTTGAAGTCTGTCCCTCGCACACCAGTTAATCCCTTAATTCTGAAGTTTACAAAGTCATTTAGTGTTTTTAAGAATTTTTTCCTTATCTCAAGGGCTGCTCAAAACATATGTAAAGCTTCAGGGGTAAGGAGAGTATTACGCCATAGTTTTTTTCATGTACTAAGGGTGTGGATCTACACAATAAGCATCATTCAAGCGTTGTGAGGGTTAGGGAAGGGTTGGAATATCCGAAATTCAGGGTTTCTCATTTTTACAGACAGCTTCCTTAGGTAATGCTCTTGTTATTGTATGGGTTAGTGTTGCTTTTCATCAAAAAAAATTAACGCAAGTTATTTGTCTTTTCAGATGGTCAGGATAGTATTGTTTGCGATTGCAGACTGCCAACAACAAGGTAATTTTGGAAATTTTTTAATGTAATAACAGGAAAATTATGGTCCAGTATTCACAAGAGTATCCTACAGAAAAAGACAAAGTGAGGAAAATGAATCTGTCCTAATAATTGAAAGCTGTTATTATTAAATATTTTGGTCATTTTAGTGAAAAGTACGTGCATATTTGGTGGAGAGCAAGATAATATTTGCTCGACTCGCTTCATCCTTTTTTTCTTTTTATTTAAAATCAATTTCAGCATTGTTATTGCCGTCTCAGACTTATTTAAAGTGTTTTTCAATGTGACTAGATCCCAAAAGGTAACCAAATTTTAAATCTCTAAGATACTTTCTACAAACCAGTGCACTAATTGGCACACTGGTGAATCGATCATTAAGCTTGCTGCTATTCAATTGGCAAACAGGTGAATCGTTCGCTAAATCCGCCGTGTGACTTGATCAAATTTTCAAATTAATGTCCAACAGGTGGATGTTGATTGAGTTGCCATCAACTGATCTCAGGGTTTTATTTTTTGGTCAATTTATGTGGAACAAATGGATACTGGCTTTTTAATCAATTGTAAATTGTTTTTTAATAAAAACAATATCCACCATACTCAAGTTGACAGAAGAGAAAAAGTTCATCTGCCTTTTTTTAATTTAATTTTGTTTCCATTTTTTGGTTTAAATACATATCTACTAAGGATTAATCTTATTTTTTGTTCGCAGGTTGTTTAAAAAAAGAATGGCCTCTTTCGTGTGTCCCAAGCGACTTGAGTACCGATGTAAATTTGAATTTTTATCACCAAACCCAATACATACAAAGGGAGCAACAGCAGCTTTAAATTCATCTACTAACAATGAGAGCATCGGTATGTCAACGTATAACTTGAGAAATCATGATGACCTGGTTTTCTGCATAAGGAAGTATAGTCCGAGGAAATGTTCCCTGTACTTAATTTTGCTCTGATTTTCAACTTTCCAGTAACAACAGCGGAGAGAGGGCTTGGATCCGCACTGATGCCTTGTGGGATTGTTTCATCAGGGCTGTTTCTAAAGAAGTTTTGGAACTACTCGATTTTTTAAAATTTGAAGGTCCATTGGGATGTTTTAAGCCATTCACATTAATTCTGAGTCAGTGTTCAAGCTACTCAACCTACTAATTTTTTATACCCATGTACTGAGAAAATCAGTAAATGCACAATGAAAAAATACTTTGCCCATTTGTTGCAAAAACTTTTAAATTTTAGAAACTGTCATCTTAAAAAGAAGGTATTTTTTTTCTTCAAAGAAAAAGAAGAAAAAAAACAAACCCTTTGATGCCTAGTTGACAACCGAGCTCTTACATGCATGTGATTCTGGTACTTTTTTCTTGTAAGATTTTGTGAGAAACTTTATGTTGACCTGCTTTTCTCGGAAACGAACTTGCAAACTCAAAAAAAGCCCTCAAAGTTGAGACAGTAACGGAGAGGATCCTCCTCTCTATGCTAAGACTCCATCTGTACATCCCGTCAAGCTCTCCATGGGCAGATAGAGAGGAAAAATATTAGCAGGGTTGCCACACTGTTTGGCAACTCCAAGGCCGAGTTCAACTGGGCATATAGAGTCGGACGCTCAATGTAACTTGTAGGATCCTCTCAATTAAGGCCTCAACTTTATAAGCTTTTCCTGAGCTTGGAAGCTCGCCTTAAAGATAACCAGTGGCACCATCGTATTTCTCGCAAAATTTCACATTAGTCATTAGTCATACTAATCCCTCCACCCGCAAGAGCAAGAGTTGCATTGATGATTCACCTCCGCATGCAACAGCTCTATCCAAGCTCGTTAAATTATCTTGATACCCAACTTGATGACAAATGCCTCAAAGAATATGTTTTAGTCTCATGCCTTTAAACAAATCAGAATGGTCGCATGATAGAATCCATGGCTCCATGGATCTGAACTACTATGGACCACTGCGTTGTAATCAAACTCTGAAATTTTTAAAAATGTGGGTTTTGTCCGGGCAAAACAAGTTTTGTCAGACCTGTTTAGCCCAAATTATGGAGAATGTAAGTATGAAAATGGAGAAATTCTTTATCAGAGTATTTCGGTCAGTATTCTGAGATCGAGACTTCTAAAAAAACACGAAGAACTGCAGGCTGATTATTAAAATGATAGACAAAACGAAAATGAAGCAATCTTATTGGTTGAAAAGGGTGGATGTTATAGACCTAAGAGGAAAATGATGCACTAACTCTAGGGTCTCTCATGGATTGCAGTCAGTTAGTCAATTACTTATCTCCTTCGTCCACTTCAACCACCCATTTTCACTAATAGGATCGCTCTGTTTGCCCTTTGTCCTCTTTGCCTATAGCTTCAATTTCAATATTCAGCCTGCTTTGAATGATAAGAGTAATGCTTATCGTATGCAGATGCTCAATTTGTAGGGCATCTCTGGAATGCAGGGGCCATTCATGAAATATGTAATGCTCTGAGGGGAGGGAGGGTGGTCGAGGAGAGAGTTTTGCCATTTTGTTTTAACGTGTTGAAGGATATAAACCTATGTAACAGAAACGGTACGAAAAGGGAGGGGGGTAGAAAAATCCGAAATTCAGTGTCACATATCGTTTGGACTCCTTAGGAGTGACCATGCTTAAGATGGTGCATTAATATTGAATGCCAGCATTAAAGTCGAAAGAGAGGCAAGTCGCAGGCAAGAACAATGCCGGAATGAGCTTTTCAACAATCACTAAAATTCATATTATTTTGTCAGAGTAATAAATAACTCCCAAGAAATTGTCAGGGGAAAATGATGCAAATTAGCTTCACTTAAAAGTGAACTGGCCCTACACATGAATATCATGTAAGAGCGGAATCTATCTGATCCTGGACCTGGTTATATGGTGTTGGGTTATCTTGGTGTTCAAGAGAAAGAAAGGGAAAGAATTTATCATGATTTTAACTGATCACTGAAACTGAAGGTTTTACTGTCATTCACTAATTTTGGAACAAAGCTCATCGCACCTATTTCTTTCCTAGGTTCCATTCAGTCAAAGCACGATTCTTCTCCGACACACAGACCACAAGGATACAAACAGACCAAGTAAGAATGGCCTATTGATATTTTTATTTGACAAAACCACTTTCCTCTTGAAAGTCTCAAGAAAGTCGCATAAATTCAGGCTTCATAATACTCATGATGATATAGGCATACCAAATACTTAATACATTCCTAACATTGAAAGCCTTTCAGTGGGAAAGTCGATCATAGAGAAAGCTGTGGCAACATTCTGCTTTGTTTCAAATTTAAGGTGATTCGACGGACGCCATTTTTTGTGTCAGAGGGACGTGGTTTATCTTATCAATTCGTTCCATATTATCAGCTACTTGTCATTTTTTTTTAATTTCAAGATTGTACTGTTGTACTGATTGTACTTCTGTTGCCATGAGACTGAAAAATTTTTGTACCAAATTTGACGAAGAAATTTAACATAATAACCTAATAAAGGCAGGGTTATTTATAGGAAAAATATTGCATCCGAGTGCAGTTTTGAAATCAGTATCGAATGTGATATTTTTCCTCTAAAAGATCCCTGCCTTTATCATGTTGAATTTCTTTGTCAAAGGTACATAAATTCTTTATAGTCTTATGACAACAGAAGTGCGATCTTAAAATTTAAAAAAAAAAATGACGAGTAGCTAAAATTATGGAATGAATTGATGCGATATATGGCATGTTGCTCTGACACAAAAAATAGCGTCCGTCGAATCTCTTTAACAGGAGAAGAAATAGTTAATCTTAAATCATTGCTGCATGAAAGATCTTCATTAGTTAGTATGGTTTTCATATTACACTTTTATTTTGAAGTGCATAGTTTTGCTCTGACTTTAGTCCCTCTAAGTAGTACACCAAAAAACCATACACTTTTTTAATCGGAAATTGCTGCTTTAGCTTTCAGAATTCATTTTTATAATAAAAAAAAGATCTTCTAGACGAAGATGGCGGTTTTTTGAGACAGCCGCCACACTTTTTTCAGAGCGTACCATCTCATTAAGTTCACAGCCAATTTTCGTTTTCTTAATCTCATTTAAAAAACTATTATAATCATGAATAAGATTGAAATTTTTCTCTGTGACGCTGTAACTTATAGATGTTGAAACAATTTCAAGATTAGATGAATATTTAACTTACAGAGAAATGGCTTTTTCATCTGAGGGAACTGTGTCAGAAAAGTATGAGGAAATTTAATGCAGCACCCAAACCGGCTTTGCATGCTATGAAACACACCCCATAGAGCAGCTCATGTGAAGCATTGTGGAGCTAGACGAGGTTTAAATGGCACTTAGGTGCCAATTAACGTCCTTTACAAGTTGTATGAGCATTATATCCTCGTCTTCATTCATCTGATTTTCATTCTTTTGGGCTCGTTTGAAATTTATGTTCAAATCACTTCGATTCATAGGATTTCTCAGGACTGACGAATCGATCTGTCAAATCGCGATCTATTAAGATCTGATAAATTGAGGTCTGATAGTTCACAACAAAACTAATGATTCCTGGACTCCTCTGACTGAACTTCTTTCCATGACCATAAGAATGAACCCTGAAAGCAGCAATTCTCGATTAAAAAAAAAACAAAACAAAACAAACAGGGCTTTCCTCATTTTGAGACAGTAGCTTGCCCATTGAAGTCTCGATTTGGTTCTTGGGTCACTCATAAGTATTAATTTTACATTAACTCATTGGCATTTATTCAGAAATTGCAGAAGATTGTGAAAATGTATCTTTAAATTCAATTCTGTTTCTAGAAAATACTAAAAAACTGGTCATAATGATAAAAAAGAAAAAAGAGAAAGAAAGAAAAAAGTTTTAATTTACCTAACCATCTCAAGCCTATTTTCCCCCAGTTTTAAGTCCATGTTGCCTGGTCCCCTTCTCTGAAACACTGCCCATATAATTTTTAAATTTCATACGGCGCTTCTGAAGCCAGTATTGTGGAATCATATCAACAGATGATCAGTCTGTCCACTTGTTAAGTGGGAGGCTAATTCTTTTATCATGTCCTTCGTGATTTTAGCAGTCAGGAAGAGGAAGATGAAGATGATTGGACACCAAGACCTACCAGTGCAACGGAATGTACAGGCAAAGCCAAGCAGGAGCCAAAACTTTCAAACGGAACAGAAAATGAAGCTGAAGATGACTGGACTGTAAAAGTTAACCACTCCTCTGATAATGTGCAGGAAGACAAATGTACCACAGGAGCTCAGAACGCCAAAAATATCTATGAAGATCATTGGACTCCTACAGTGAATAAAATCAAAGAAATATCCTTAAACGATGACTGGAATCCTAATGAGAACTGGAATCCTAGGGATTTAAGTTCCTCCAAAAATTTGGTTGAAGTTAGTGAAAATGGTGATATGGATTCTGGCTATTTTGACACAAAAGTAAGTTGCATGATCACAAAAGTCTAAAAAATTCTTTGAATTCTTCAAGCAAAAATGTGCAACACAACTGTGTAAGCATTAAATTTAGACAAAATTTTAATACAGTGGAGCCCGTATATAACGAAGTTCACGGTTCCCAGAAAAACTTTGTTAAAAGCGGACTTGTAAATTGTTTAAACCAACGGACAAATCCTAACCTGCGAAAATGGCTGATGTCAACGAGGCGCTCACGTGCGGCAGCTCTGGGAAACGCTCGACGATAGCGCTCCTCGCGGTGTAGAACCCAACTTCATGAAACGCTTCAGGAGTTGCGTAAAACCCGGTTAAGTGTGGTGGTAGAATCTGGGTCCTACCTGCTTCCAAGATTTGTCTCCAAGAATCCTCTCAAACGCGTATACAACACCTCTCCCGGAAAGCTTTCTGGAGAGGCTCCTGGAGAAAAATGATGGAGGTGAATCCTGCTAACTGGAGACATGGGATGAATCGGCGCGCTGCCGGACTCCCCCTCCCCTCCATCGCAGACGTGTGCAAGTGTGAGAGAGTGAGGTGTGAAACATGCGCGGCGGGCTGCGCAGTGAGCGCTCACTTTGTTATCCCTTATTCTCTTTTATTCGTAACCTCGTGATTCTGCGACTACCACACGTATTACTGCAAGCGAGCAGAACTCGTCCAGAGAGCAGAAAGTACCAAACTTAATAGCGGAAATGGCGGCAAATTACTTTGTTATACGCGAGGTGCCGCCGCCAAGACTTCGTTAAACTACTATTACTATTACTGTACTATGTACTTTTCTACTATTGAGTGTATATGAGGACATATATGTAACAATAGAGGTCACTGACATCCGCCATTTATTGCTTTTTTCGAAATCTGAAGCCTCCAAGAATGCCTGTGCAAAGTTTCAGACTTCCAGCGCAATTTTTCAGCGAGATATGAACTGAAAACCTTGTTATTTGTAAAAACAGCGGATGTGAAAATCCACTGTTTTCCCCGGCCGGCGCGGCAGGACTCTGTGGAGATTTGAACCCTCTTGCGATAACTGCCTGCCCACCGGCCATGGGCTGCAGCTGACACTCAAATTATACGTATCGGGACCGTCTCGCCAGAATTGTTGAATTTATAACTGATTTTAGAATTTGTTCCTTGTTTTTGTTGTAAGAATTACAAACGGTTTAGTCTCTTGATCAATTTTGTTAAATGACTCAGCATTGACTTACTTTTAGGTCATTTCAATCGTTTCACCAGCCTTACCCTTCCTGAAGACTTTGTTTCATGCATAAAAAAGTGTTTGCAGTACAAATAGCGGATGTCACATTTTTTTCAAACCGCTGTTACTCCTTCAATTTTTCACTTACAAAGATCGTAAAACGTGTGTTTTTTACCGGAAGAGTTGCTCTTTATCTTTATGAGAATCCTCTCGGTTCTACGGGCGGAAAAGAGCAAAGCTTCAAAAACTTCAAACGCGATTTTCTCTTAATGTGAAAACTCGACATCCACTATTGTTACAGATAAGTCCTCATATGGAAGCACTAGAAAAATGAAAATTACTTCGTTATATTCGAAACTTTGTTAAAAGGGAGTTCGTTATACACGGGCTCTATTGTATGTTGATAAGAAAGTTGCAGCGTTTGTTGTTGTTTATCGTGGATGTGATTTTCTTCTAAGTGTTCTTTTGAGACGGTTATCGTGCTGTAGACTTAAGTTATATTGGTTGAATCTTCACGATCCATTTGATGGTGAAGTTCCTACGTCCAATGTAATGTCATAGATCTCCTTCAAAGGCAATGTATTAAAGTCATCCTCTGTCAATATTATTTTGAAATGTTAATATGTGCCTCCAGACGAGGTATGAATGAAAGCACCACTCAAAATGTTTTCTCCTATAAAATTTTTTTATCATGGAATCGTTTGCCAGAAAACGTCCTCAAGACCAAATCAAGAGACCGGCAACAAAAAGTGTGTGATAGTTCAAATAATTTAGGTGTGGTGAATTCAATATCATGAGCTGTACGCATGAACTCAAACTGCTCGTTCAAATGCATCCCCATACCTGTAGGAAAAAGACCTCACATTTCTCTAAGAATAAGTTGTCATTCAATTTCTTTTTCAGCCAACAGTTTCAAGCCCTAGTCTTCAATCTAGACAGCCCTCGTGCACAGGATTCTTAGTTAATTGTACTGTTCAACCACAAGAAATTCATAAAGCAACTGGCAAGAATGGAATGCAGCATTTAGTGCCAATCACAATTTGCGTAGCAAACTCCCCATCTGACTTTTATTTTCAGCTGAACTCCGAAGCAGAAGGTCTGAAATCTTTGATGAATAAAATGAAGTAAGTCATTACATTGTGTGCTCTTCTAATTGTCTTTGTCACAAGTTATGTACTTGGTGTGTATTAAGGATTTAAACCGTTTTTGAAGAGTACAAGAATACCTTTCCTGATTTGTTAGCGCTTAGATGTTGAATTTTAACATTAATTTGCTTCTTACTTGAGATACAAGATGCTTTTTGCAGTGATTTTCTCAGGAACAAAGTATACTCGGATCCCCTTGTAAAATTCTTACCTCTATGTGGTTCGAGAGAGGCAGTTCTCAAAAAGCTTTCTTACTAAACGTTTCTTTTTGCAGACGTAACCTCCAAATACCTTCTTTTACCATGTGCCAAGTATCAATATTTGTTCTGAATTTTTTTAATTTTCTGCAGAAGACTCTGAGCCTCCTATTGGCATCCCCATCCTTGGAAAATGTCGTGAGAGGCAGAGTTTTCTTCCTTTTTACAAACTGGGTACCACTATCTAGAGTCCCTTTATACCCAGAGTTAAGACAACTCACTTTTGGTTGGGCTGAAAGTGGCCTAAAAAAAAATCCAATTCTGATTGGTTCTCGCTCATGGAGGCCGAAACGAGTGCACCAAGATGGCGGTACCTCGAATGTGAACAAGAATAATGAAAATATTACCTAATTGTGGTTTATCAAGAGTAAAGTGTTATTTCCATCGGTCCAAAATGAAAATAGATTAAGAAATTATTCACAAACCAATCTCATTTTCTTTTTAATTGATCACTTTGTTGATGTTGTTGTTTTTGTGTGACAGACATCGCAGGATTCCTGATCCTTATCCCTCAATATCGTTCGTTTGGGTGCACTCGTTTCGGCCTCCATGGCCAGCCAAGGCCGGCTGCCAGTCAGCTGTTAATCGAGTTGTCTTAACTCTGGGTATAAAGGGACTCTACCACTATCCTTATCCTTTTCATTCCAAAGCACTCTTTTCTCCACTCACCAGCTATTATGGCGTGTCAATTAATGGACTTTTTTCTCATTATGTTTGACACAGCCAATCCCTCTCCTCTATTCCCCTCTCCTGGTATTCTTCACCGCAAACCAGATATTCCTGAGCCGTTCTTTGGTGTAGCAGCTTGATATTCTGGAATTTTTCCCTCAAAACGCTTAAGAATAGATACGATGGCAAATACTCGGTGTTAACAACCGATGATATCACCAAAGACTTATAAAGTCTCCTCAGAGGAAAGCTACTTTTCAGTCAGTTAAACACAGTAGATGAGAAGAAATAAACACCTCTTAATTTTTGTGTTTCTTGTATTGGAACTTGCAAATAACCGTAATAGCCTCCTCACTAGTCTCACCACCAATACCAATTTTTGCTACGGTTTTTTAAGTGGACAGTTTGAATGGTGTGTCATGTTTTCATCCCTTATTAATCAGTCTGCTTATTTTTGCAGTCAATTTTACCTTGGAACTCAGAAGCATCTTAGTCCAACTGATATTATAATTGGAAGCATTTATGTTGCAAAATTGCCTCCCAGTGGAAAATGGCACAGGGTTCGAGCTCTATCAGATTTAAATAGTGGAAATGAAGTTGATGTGAGTATACAAGAATCCATGCCACTTAACTCTTTCAAATTTGCGTTGAATTTTATTTCTTTCCTTATTATTTTCTACAAATGCTCTTAAAAGTTACTCAAGCAGAAATGAAAGAAACTAGTTTTTAACAAAATATTTTCATGTAAAATTCCACAAGAAACTTGTCGGAAAATACAATTAAGTCTACAAAAAACCTCCCATAGGCGAAAAAAGGCACCTCTAATGGGCTTCCAGACAAGGTTTGAATGGAAGCATCATGCAACCTTTTTCCCTTTCGAAATTTCACAAGAAAAACAAATCCTGCAATGGGAAGTATGAAAATCAACTTCCAAACAAGATGTAAGTGTTTAAATTGACATTGGTCCCATGGCTAAAATACAAGTGACGCTTGTCATTCACTTAATCTAACTTCCATTTGATCCATGTTGTAAATACTTGATTATACCTTGCTCAGGAGTCAATTTTCAAACCCTCTGTCTTGTGGATCATTTTCTACCGAAGATTTTGGAGAGAATTTATGTGTTGTTTTTTTTTACTGAATTGAGAGCTTGTGTAGTTGCCCATCACAGATCTTTAGAGTTCTTGCTTTTGAGTATGACATCATGTGGATCAAGTCCAGTCAAAAGGAATCAGGTTTTTTGGAAAACCCAGGAGTCTGCTTGTTGTAGAATTTCTTCTTTACCTTTGTCTCTATAATTTTTAATTTTAATAAACAGACTTTAACTTCAGTAAATTACAGGACCTTTCCTTATTTATTTTTGACCCAGTAGTTTTGATTCGCTCAAAAAATCATCATTTTTTTAAATTTTTATTATTTCGATTCCCCTATCCTGAACCCGAAAAGAGCCAACCAAGTGGACAATTGATCCTCTCTCAGATTTTTGATGGGTAAAATCATTCAGAGGAAGGAACCAACCGCATAGTAGTTCTTATGAAGTTCTTATGAGCAACTAACGACTGGATGAAAAGTTCTTAAAAAGATGAGGAAAACCTGAAACAGACAGGGAATTTCACCCAACCCTGAAATTTGAAAGAGGCTGTAAGAATTTTAACACCTGAAATTTCACACAATTCAACTGTATACTTGACTGGAAAAGATATTTTGAAGCAATTACAAATGCATTTTACACGTTTTGATCATTTCTGAACAGACTTACTTTTAACACTTTGAACAGAGCAACGTGTCATTGGAAAACACTTTATTTTTTTATTTATTTATTTATTTATTTATTTTTTGGGGGGGAGGGGTTCTGAGAGGTTGACTGCACTTGCTGCAATGCTCTCTGTAAAAAAACACGGAGTGATACTTTTCCAAAGTACTGACTACGAGTCTAAAATAATACTGAGAGGCACAGGTGCATCTAACATAAACCACCGTGTTATCATATTGTCATTGTAAACTGTATTCAGTGCATATCGACGGTGAAACTACCAAACCACGTATCTCGGTTTGCGACGTCGCAGACTTCCTGTCATACTTTATTTTTTAAATGAAAAACTACTTAGCGTCCAGTCTTGAAAATTTCTGTGATTTTTCCTCTTCGTGCAGAGAAAATTCTGTGAAGATTTCAAGGAATGAGATTGATTTGGTCTACTTCAAAAAAATAAAATGCGAGCGTAGATTTTTAAACACCGCAAACGAGATACGTGGTTTGGTAGTTTCACCGTCAATATGCAGATCATCTGAACTTGGTCCTTACCAAGAAGGCCTGCCAGATACGTGGTGCAATTCTCTAACTTTTAACTTTTATTTCCAGCTTTTCTTCGATACCTTTGCTTTAGCCAACTATGAGACAATATGGTGAAGAAACGATTTGTTAAGTGTCAGCAAAATTTTTGATAATCATTGAAATTAAAATAATGGCTTAACCGTGGCAACAGTGTGCTAAAATTATTATTTCTTTTAGTTAAATGAACAGATCATAATTTGGTGTTTCATCAGTACAAGAATGAGACATGATGCCCCGCTCTCTGTTTGCAGGTTTTTTCAATTGATTATGGACACACTGGCAAGGTGCAGTGTTCCGAGTTGAGGTTATTGCACACAAATTTTGCCAAAATGCCCGCGCAGGGAGTTCATGCTCAGCTCAGCTTGAAACCAGCTGAAGGTGGAGAATGGCATCCAATGGGTCGGCAGCTTTTCGTCAAACTAGCACGAAGGTTCATTTGGTCAGCAGAAGTAGTGAAAATCATAAACCCAAAGGTAATGTTGATTGATTGATTAGCTCTCAAGCATAATTTACTCGGCCAACTTTTTGACCCCCCCTCTCTCCTTGCAAGGCAACCTTGAGAAACTCTCTCACCATAGTCATTTTGACTTACGAGAAACTGGTCAATCCAATCCAAATACATCAGTAAAAAAATGGTGAAATCCTGTAAAATAGCTGATAAAAATCTCTTTCTGGTGAAGAAAGTTCTTTTTTTAAAAAAAACTAGAGTATCATTTGAGACAGACAAAGGGAGATCATGTAGTGTCCCACTTGATTTTGATCATAATGTGGCCAAAAATATCCTGACAAATTTTTTAAACCCGGATTTTTGTAGTATTAGCAGATGGACAAAAAATTGTCAAAAAATGGCGAAAAGAGCTTACTGTAGTCGCAAAACTAGTAAGCAAAAGAAGCATTAATTCCAAGAAGGAAAGCATTAGGAAGGGTAATTTAAAATTTTTAATTCACGCAGGTAGCTTGTTTTTTATCTACTAGACTGACTCCTGAAATTGTTATCAATATTCTCTTCATTATATTTTTGTCAAGTTGAATCCAATTTTAACTTAGTTTTATATTCACAGTCTGTTCAGCAAAAGGTTGAGGTTTTGCTGAAAGTCAAAGGAATAGCTTCTACCTATCTCTCAAGCCAACAGAACTCACCAGGCTCTAATAACAAAGAGGAACATGCTATTAAAGATGTAATTAACGAGTTCATCAGAGATTTGACCCATGTCTAAACCACTATCACCAAAGGTATGATCTCAAAAATTTTCTTGTTACCCATTTTTTATTTCCAATTGGCTGTAAATAAGAACATTTCACTCATTGCTTATTTTTTGACTGCGATATTAATAAGAAGGTCGAGTTTAATGTGCTGCAAGAGGAAGTTTAATCTTGAATAAAATCGTGCCTTTCTTTGTTGCCTTATATTCAGAAGATTTGGTCAAAGCTTGATCAAAGTCTTTATTTAAGTTTACCATGAGAGAAAGTTTAATCTTTAATAAAATCGTGCCTTCCTCTCTCTTCTATGTATTTTGAAAATTGAATGAAGTGGCTTCTTAATAGAGACCAGTCTAATGAAAAGTCATTCAATTTTTTTCCTTTTTTCTTTTTAGGTCAGCTCATTATTTTCCTAAGTTTAGGTCTTAGTTCTTTTTTCATTTTGTAATTTGTTTTTATTAAAGCTGTAGAAAAGGTGCCCCTCTGACTTTTAAACACTGCTTCATATCAGGAATCCCTATTTTGTGTGTGACAGTACAAGGTCTGTTAGATTAAAAATCGGATTTTAATACTCATCAGGCAATCGTTCACGTGAGCTATGAAATGAAAAAAAAGTACTACCAGACCAAGTATTTCGGTTTGCGACGTCGAGACTTTATTTTTTAAATGGAAAACTACTCAATGTCAATCCTTGAAAACTTCTGTGTTTTTTCTTCTCAAAGAATTTTAAGAAAAATGTGAAAATTTCAAGTAATGATATTGATTTGTTCTCCTTCAAAAAAATAAAATTGGAGTGGAGATTTTTAAACACCACAAACAAGATACGTCGTTTGGTAGTCTCTCTGTCAATATACAATTATCAGCAATGTGCATAGTAAATTGCTTACACACTCATAACAGTTAGTGCAATCAGACTTGCACATTAGACGAGCATACTGTCATTAGCAACAAAAATTTAATTGATCTTCGATGCTGCTTTTGAATTCCTTCTCCTTATTAAATGCAGCTCAATTAAGAAAGGTTTCATCCTATTTTTTTTCTTCAATTCCTCATTCAATGTTTCACGTGTCAGGGGCTAATTTTGTCAAAAATCCTGTTTTGAATTGATTCACTCTGATGTTCTGTCGAATAAAAAACTCAACACTTTATCACTCATAATATTTGAACAGGTTATTAGTTCTGCACATTTATAATGCTCAGTCTTCGTTCAAATTCGGGAAAACAAAGATTCCTTGGAAGGGCAAAATTAGCAATGTGCTAAAGAAATTTGTTTTTTATTACTAATTAGACCTTGTTGTTTCAAGCGATGAAAGTGTTTTCTCCCTAAAGCAATTGTCAAAAAGAAACATCAATTTTAGTAATTTTGTTTGAATACTTTTATTATGACTTTGAAAAAATTTGATAAAATATTTTCTCGGCAAAACTGCGTTATTACTGGTTAAGATTAATCCAATGAACTTGGTGTTCTTTACTCCTTACAAAATTAATCCATCATTTGACCAAACTGTATTCACCTTGATCAGTAGGTAAATAATTAATGTATTCTCATAATATTTTTTTCTCTTTTGCCAAAGTTTATGCAAGTTATTTTTGTTTCCATTCCATTGTACATACTCTCTTTTTGTAGCTTTTTAAACTTTTTTGTGTCACTTGAAAATACTTACTGTTATTAAATTCAGATCTCATACTTAGCCGCTTGTACAAGTATTCAACCAAACACCCCATGTAATAATTTCATGCAAGTATTCTCTCTGTAAATTGGCGGTATTGTGAAAGCATTTTCACAATTTACATTTACCTTCCTCACCCATGTAATGCCTTCTCTTCCACTGGCTAAATAATTAAAAATTAACTGATTCCAACTAACTCACATCATTATAGTTTTTTCTGCTCTTCCATGTCATGCTCTAAATTTTAAGACTCCAGGCAAGTACTTGTGAAGTTGAAAAGGTGCCGCCAAAATCAACTTTTTTTTCAAAAGTATGAGGGCCAATTATTCAGGGTCCTTTGGAGCCCCTCTGGTTTTTTATTTACTCTCTCTGAAGGGAAAGAGATGAGTAATTTTAGTGAGTAGGCACACCTTAGGCATATGAGTATTTTCCTTTTGTGTTAGCTGTTGATAATTAATTGTAGCGTAAGTTCCGAAGCATCCTGCATTTTTTTCTTTTTTTTTTTCAATTACTTTAGCCTTGAATTGATCTTTAGCTTTTTCCTATTATTTCCTACAAGGATAAACTTTGGATAAAAGGGATCAAACTTTGGTCTTTATCAATTTTGATTGCGAGCTATAATAGGAAAATTTGCCACTTTTAAGGAAGTAAAAAATGAAGAGAAATGTATCCGGTAATAAATTAACTTTTCCTCTTCAAATGTAAAATGGGATTCACAAATTAAATATGATGTCTTGAGTTCAACATGGCAAAATAATTAAGATTATACCTTCGTGGTAAATGTTTTGTTCAAAAATCGTAAGTGATGAGCTTTATAGGGGGTTTGGTAACCGGGAAAAACAAGAAAGACAAGCATCTACTCTTAAAATGTAAATATACTGATTTAAGTATTTATTCTTCAGTAGTAGTAGGGTCAATGCTTGGAAGTAAGTTAACTGGTGTTACTCTTTAGTAGCCTTGCGGTGGGGCTCTTGGTATGCATCCACTTGTGCTCTTGAGACTTTCATTTCTTCATATTGTGTGTTTCCTGAGAAAGAAAAAAAATTGTGATTTGCACCTTTCCAACTTGATTCTAATCCTGTATTGAAGTAACTTTAGAGTATCATACGGAGTTCTGGAGCTTCTAAACTATTAGAAGCTCTTGAGGGTTCATATCAAGTCCAAAATTTCCAACAAAAAGGTGTGCTTTAACTTTATATATGAATTTTCTGCGCCAAAACGCTCATGGTCCTTTCCACCACAACCAAGCCCATAAAATTAAATCAACATCTGTTTAAAATCATTGCATCAGTCACTGGTTTTGGGTGGAGGCTCATGCTAGTGTCATACTTTTAAGCCCTTTGACAACTTTTCAAACTCAACCGCATGCAACCACTAAGAGCGTCAATCCTTTTAAAATCAAATTAGCATGGAATTTTAGTGCATCATCATCAGAATTTCGTGTTGAAATTAAATTTCACACCAGAAAGAATCTTCTCCAGTCATTATTTTATTGGGTGTAATATAACTTCGGAAGTTATCAATGTAGGCAAAGTCTAATGATAGAATAGTCTGTAAAAATTCATCTTTGAATATAGCGTGCAGCATAATCCGGAGACCCAAAATCATTGCATAAAATATTTTGTGCTGCAGATCAGATGGTGTTTCTTGCTCTGTACATTGTACAATCAGGAAAATATGAAAACTGTTCCTCAGGGTATTGGACTTTGGCAGAGAAATTTAACATCCCATCCCTGTTGTTGTAGTGTAAATTTTATTTCTTTCTTTCATTGTTTTGTTCAGATTTTTTCTCACTCTCCTCCAACTGTGTATGTAACTATATTTCATTCAAATATTCATGCAATGAGCCAAAACTATCCCAATTCTAAGTGTTCAGAATAAGTTTCTTTGTAATATTAATATTTTAACGGAAATCTGTTTCAGTTTCCAACTTAAAAGGTCGATGTAAAAGTTAGGTACCTAGAGGAATCGATTTTAATTTGTTGGTCCAGAATTCAAAATAAGGCATGGAAATTTTTTGAAAAACCCGGGAAAATCAGAGAATATTCTTACAAATTTGACTGGTAACTGTGTGGAAACATCTTAAAAATCGAAACTAATTTGCTGTGCTGTTTTTGGATGGAGGGGAAAGGTTTACAGTTTCAAAGATCTGTATATTTACCTTGTCGAGACACTTCTTGTTGAGATGAGTAATCTGTGCGGCGTGCATCCTGTGAGTAAGGATGCGTGTTATGAGTCAATTCTTCTCGTTGATACTGTTCTGGCACACCATCAGTATATTTTTGTGGCTCATCTGAATAATGAAGATCCTGATGATATTCCGGAGTAGGATACTCAGCTTCCGGTTCGAAGAGATCACCTTGATTGGTTCGATACTCTTGGTCTTGATAGCCGTCTTGACCATATTCTTCTGTGTGGTGGACGTATGGGCTCGGATCATTTGCTTCGCCGTACATGTTTCTTGGTTGCTCATATTCTCCAGAAGTTATGTGTTGATTCTCATAACCTCTACCATATTCTTCCGGAATTCTTTGACTATAATCTTCGCCTTCGGTACCAGGCGCATACTCCTCTAGCTGTTGTGCAGTTCCGTAATTCTCATTGTTCACTGGATATTCATTTTGATAGCTTGAATATTCCACCCTCCCATCTTGACCGTAAATAGGCTCTGGAGCAAGAAGTTCCTGAGACCCGTGTCCATCATACTGCCTAAATTCATCTTGTGCATGAGAATGTTCGTAAATTTGATTTTCGTCATAAACATCCTCTCGCGTATTTTCAAACTTAGGATACTGGCTTGGATCCTGGGGATAGTTCTCATTTTGTTCAACATAGTGAGACTCATCTCTGTACTGAGTGCTTGACCCATCATACACAATTTCGTTATAGGGTTCTTGTTGCTCCAGGTACTGTTGTTGTACGTGCTCATCATACAGTGGCTGCCCTTGACTCTCGTATGGTGGTTGCTCTTGCACCTCAAATGGTTGCGGAGGGTTCTCTTCGTACACCTGTTGATTCGGAACCTTACTTTGCTGTTTTAGTCCTTCATATGAAAGTTGTTGCTCCTCATACCTTTGTTGAGGCTGATTTTCATATTCAGGGTCCTCCTCATATTTCTGTTTCTGTGCCCTCTTTTGCTGTTGATGTTCCTCGTAAGAAAGTTGCGGTTGCTCCTCGTACCTTTGTTGAGGCTGATTTTCATATTCAGGATTCTCCGCATACGTCTGTTTCTGTACCCTATTTTGCGGTTGATGTTCCTCGTATGGAAGTTGAGGTTGCTCCTCATACCTATGTTGAGGCTGATTTTCATATTGACGGGCATTTTGTTCATCCAGTGGCTGTTGCTCTTGATCAGTGTAAGTCTGATGTTGGAACATCTCATACGGCCTCTCAAGGTGCCCGTCCACCTCTTGATGCACTCCATCATACTGTGGAAATGCTAGTTTCTCAGAATGGTCATTAATCACATCTGCTTGATGAAAAGCTCCAAAGTCGACCTGTTGTGCTGATCCGTTCATATCTGTATCCTTTTGGTTTTTTCCCATCAATTCTGAGTCTTCATCCGTGTAAGATGTGCGTTTTATTCGTGTTGAATTTTGTACATCAGAGAAGTTTAGTTCGTTTTCTCCCCCATCAGCAGAAGGCCCCTCATTGGTGACAACTTCTGATTTGACAATCGGTGGAGACTCTTTGGAACTTTTCCTGAAATCACCATCGATATCTTTCAGTTCCTTTTTTTGGCATACGGCATCAGTGTGCTTTAATTCAGTATCAGCTTCAAGCGTTTTGTCTTCTTCCTCTACTTTTGAAGTGGTGTCATTTGCTGCTTTGCGTTTTTCATCTTCAACAGTTTTTCTATTACGAGTCTCATTTTCTCTGTCAAAAGATTCTTCAACTGTCCCGGTTTTCTCCTCCTCAATGGCTCCTTGCTTTAATTTTTCTGTGGCTCTTGATTCTCGCTCATGTGAGTTCCTTTTTAGTTCAGAGTTTATTAGATCATCTTCTATGCACATCTGTCTGGGTGTATTTTCCTCATATTGTTTGTCCTTGGACTTTTTACCCTTATGATTGTTCTCATTATTATTTTCATCCTGATTGATGATGTGGGTGCTGCTATCATTATCTTCATCTTTCTTTTTAATTGCAGTTTCAGTTATGATATTATTTTTAACCTTCTCTGTCTCTATTGTAGGGTCTCCAATCTGAGGAATCATGGTAATTTCTTCCGTATCTGTCTCAAAGATTACGACACGAGGAGTAACCATTTTTTCAGCCACAGCTTGGGGACTATTTTCATCCACATGCCCTCTCCCTAATGATCCATCATTTGTGTTGCCAGACATGTTTGTACGTACTTCGTCACGATCGTGTTTTGTATCTTCATAAATTTTGACTGGGGACTTTTCAATATCTCCCTTAAATGTAGTACTCATGTCTCTTTGATAGAATGGCACTTCCTGAAAGTCAGATTCATTAAAAGGGGAGCTTAAGTAACTCCGACGTTGACCAGAACTCGTCTGCGTATCACTTACCCTGGAAGAACGGTTTGACGGGTAAGATGAGAGTGTCGACAAATTTGATGGATAGATGTTGTGATTCTGGACCCTTCCTCTTTCTTGCAATAATGAAGCGTTAGAATTTTTATGCAAGACGTCATCATAAAAAGAGGGAACTTCTGAAGAAAATACAACATGTTTGTACAGATTTGCTCTATGAGGTACTGTCTCTCTGTCTGATAGTGTCCGTAATATTTTCTGATAATTGTGCTTTGAGTCCACGGCTGAATAATTGCCTGTCGTTAAACTTTGGTTTGGTATTGAATGCCGGATCAAATTGTTGCTGTAGCTAGCCAGCCTGTCTACCTCTCTTTTTTTTAAGTAAGTACGTACGTCCGCATCAACCTGGCTTTTATTCTTGATTCCATTCCAAGATTGAGACAATCTTGAGTATCTATCTATAATTCGCTTACTATTTTCGAGTTTACTCTTAATTATATTATCGATATAAGTATCTCTTTGCAATGGAGTTCTCATGGCAACTGAGTCACTTCTGACTCTTTGATGCCTTGGTTCAATATTCGGAAAAGACTGATAATGGAACCTGCTCATTGGTATCTTTGAATTTCGAGCCAAGTTCCGGAATCTAAATCTACTGAAATCAGAATAGGTATAATTCGATTTTCCATAACTCCCAGGCCCAGTATTATAGGAATAGCTCTGCATCTGCTGCCTTTTTAACCGTTCACAATTATCACAAAGAGTAGACTCCTTTCTGCTGCTTTTATAGTGGCTATCAAACTTGCTGTCGGGAACTGTAGTCAGAATAGGTGCAATGAGATCACTTGCATAACATTTTTCGTTGCGTTCATCGCTGATGAAAGAGTTCATATTTACTAGCTCACCACCCCTATTATTCAATGATTCACTCGTGAATAAGTTCTCAGGTGAAGTCAAAACGTCTGGTAGATAATTTTTCCCTGACTGACTTGCGAGTGTTGACTTATTATCCAATACAGAACTTAGTGTTGAAGTATTTCCCTCAAAGTAAGATCTACCTACTGCCTTAAATTGAGGTAGGTAGTCGTCTATTGAATACAGTGGTTCATCTACATAAAATAACTCGGGATAATGGCTCTTAATGTCGTACATTTCAATCAAATAATTTTTCTTGATGGGATACACTCTATTCAGGTACGCCTCATAATGGTCCTGTAAAGAAACCAGTAATATTCGGTAAGTTTCATTGGAGAGGTACATGGAAGGAACTGATCCTCTTGCAGAGAGATCAGGCTACGCACCTTTTCAAAGTTCAGAAGGTGATTATTTTACGTTTCAAACTCAAACCTTCCTAGGTACCTCAAGTTCGGATTGATTGTCAAAATCGTCCAATGGGACAGTCGGAAAAATCATGTGTATTAGTTCCAGTAATATTTGGTTTTTAATTTACACTGTGAAAGTCAACATTGGATCTGCACTTCAAATTGTCTTTCTCCCCATCTGGGAAGTTACTGAATCAATGCGAATATGCTGCAAAGAAAGAAGATGAAAGACAAGCCAGAGTTTAATTTTCTGCCTCGAAATTATCATTTTCAACGAGATTTAAAGAATAACCTTGGAGAAAATATTGTTTTGCCAGTTTGCAGCAAGCTTGATATTCAGCGGTTATTTTGCAAGTTTGCCGCGAATTTACAGCAATATTGCAAACTAAGCCTCAAAAGGTTTGAATTTGCAAGCTTGCATCGAAAAGCAAACTAGCCGCAAGACCTCAATCCTGCAGCTACTTTGCTGCAAGTCAGTGTGCTCTTTGGGTATGATATTGACATGCGGTTTGCATGGAACTTTCTCAATTGAAAGTGGGCAAATCTTTTAAGGGGACCGTGGCTCCCTTGGGCCTGGCCTCCTGGGGTGGTTGTGGGTGGGAGCAATTTTCGAATCTCTAATAAAAACCCCCAGTCGTGTGATACCTCATTTGAAAGATAATGAAAGAAGAACATTTTTGGCGCAAACCGCTATCTATCATTACTATGTAGATGAAGGTTTGGCATTCGTAGCTTTTCTAGCAGGGGAAGAACGAATTTGACATCAGAATTAAAAAAATTGCCCCAGTTTCAAGATGGCGGAAAAGTAGAATCTCGGTTGTTCATTGGCCGATGTAGATTAATTTTGGTATCCGAGGTTGGACCAAATCTGACATTAGAATTAAAAAATTGCCCCGGATGGCAAGTTTCAGGCCCGGATGAATCAGCTGATAAACAACCGAGATATTAATTTCCTGCCGTTTCGAAGGGCGCCATCTTGAAAATAAGGCAACTTTTTAATTCTAATGTCAGATTCGTTCTTCCAATGCCAAAAACCTCCGGATGCCAACCTTCATTCAAATCGGCCAATTAACAAACATGAAATCAATTTGCCACTATTTGGAAGCAATGAGAGATGGCGACCTGCTATTTGCGGCAAAAATTTTCTTTTCTATTATTTTTCCAACGAGCTATCACACGATGGGGATTACCATTTGAAATTCGAAAGTCCCCCCCCCCTCAATCCAAATTGCCCACTTCCATTTGAGGAATTTTTGTCCAACCCGTATTTCAATATCTGCATCCATTATCGAGATATTAACAAATAGCCATTCTTTTCGGACACCCTCTATTCTGTGTGTAGGTACTCCGTTTTCAAAAGGGCACCCCTCATTGACGTCCCTGTTCCACACCCTCACAAGTTCACCTGCAGCACTATTAAGTGAGTTATATCTAACACCCTCCCCCCTCCCACTCACTTTTAACATGCGGAGCCTTTCCGTTTTTGCCAAGAGCAGAGCTGCTTCATTGCCTATACGCTCCATCACCTTCGTAATTCTTCTGTTCCGATCTTCTTCTTTGTTCCTCTCGCAAGTCATTGTCACACTTCTAAAGTCAGACTATCTATGAACTCGACTTTCTGAAAAAACAATGTTATATTATTACTGAGAAAAGAAAATCAATTGAATGTCTCGGTTACCTAAATAAACGGCCATGGATACCTAGTGCAGGAGAATCCATATTAAAAAATAGGGCCAATCTTCTTTCATGTATTTATAATAACTTTAAAGTACCCACTTGTATGTCCGGAGTCCCCTAATAAAAGCTTACCATTAGGTACTACGAGCCCCCTCCGGAACCGCTACCGAGCAGCTAGAAATTTAATTTTATGTTTTGAAGACACATTATTCAAAGAAAATTAATCAATTTTAAGAAATTGTACGCTAATAATTTTTAGAATCAGTAGTACCTTACTGAACCTCCGGAAACGTTTTTGATGATCTTCCCATTGATGCGACTTAGTAATTATGCTAAGCTGATGAGGTGCTGTGCATGAAAAACCGAGCGAAAACAACTGTGGGTCGTGACTCTTGTGTGACCGAGTTAGTTCCCTTTTTGGATAGTTCGCCTCTATGTTTCTAAGCGATAGATATTATGGCTTAAAAGCCGGTGAACAAGGTGCGGCGAAATTTAGGCCAAAATGAGGGTGGAAATAAGCTGTGGGAGGTGCAACGGATGTAAACATTTTAAAATCGAGGTATACATCATATAGGGTGTTAGAAAAGTCCCCTCCCCCCCAATCTAACTTTTTACCTAATCGAGGTAGAGATTTGCAACTTGGAGGACGTTCCTATAGGGTGCGGCTTATCTGATGGCTTAAAAAAAAAGTTTGAAATTTTACGGCGCCTCATCGCCAATCAGTTCGAAATCATAAGAAAACATCCTAAAAAAATTTTTAGCCAAAAATTCGAAAATTTAGAGGTCGCACTAACGGTCGGAAGTATCGATATTTTTCTGTTTTAGAAGAAATTCTAGAAAAATCGGGTGTTTAAATAATCATCGTGTTCTTCAAGTAGATGCCAACAATGTGGGGTCATCAAGGACCTCGTTGTATCACTATACCACATAATAGAAGGGGTCGATAAGGGTTGAAAGGGGGGGGGGATAAACCTAAAGATTCGCTATTATTTTGGCACTCCAGCGCAACGGCAGCGTCAAGACCTGTAATGGCGCACGGAGCTAGCAGCATCCAGAATACGGGTCAATCAACCAATGGCATAGCATCTCATTGAAAAAAAGTATGTCACAACCCCCCCCCCCTCCCTCGCTGATCCTTCTCATCGATAAGTTGATGAATAATATGGGGTGAAATAAATCACACGGAAGTTGAGATACTCATTTATTTCGATAATATGAAACGAGGTCCCTTGGATTTACAGGAACTTTTTAGCAGGAGTTGGAAATGCCTTTCTATGTTCCGTGACAATTTTCAACAAATATTGTTTTTGCTCTTCGTTTTTAGTGATGGTATTATTGAAAGTTTGAATAAGTGAAACTGCTCTTTCGGCATTATCGTTCACAACTTTGAGATTTTTCACTACTTTGAGAGCTAGATGGAAATCATGTAGCTTTGGCCATTTAGTCGGACTTTGTTTTAAAAACGTATATGGGATATTTAGAATTTTAAAGAAATTTAGACTGTTTTGTGTCACAAAACATGATAAGTCCTTCTTTCTATACATTTTAGATCTTCAAAAGTGATCTCTGCCCTTTTAAGTCGTTTTACTTTGTTCCTATTGTTAGCAGACCTAATGTTAAATACAGACTTCGCCATCGACGTTTTGACACTAACAGGCAATGTATTATCAAAAAATGTTAAGCTAACAAGCTCCTCTGACAAATACCAAAGGTGTCGACGGAATTTAAAGACAGTTTTTTACTGATGGTAGAATTTTACCATAAAATGCCAAAATTTACTCGAAACTGGAGGGAAATTAGTGTTTATCATGTTCTGCACGTGAGTGATTTTGGCAACAGTGTAAATGGTCGAAAATAGTTCCGAAGGGATGAAAACAACTCTTGTACATTTACAATTCATGAGATATATTAGCCTCCTCAGCTTCGGAGGGCCTGTTTTGAGGTCGATTAAAAACTGTCAAATGCTATCATTTTGCTGCGCGCAGTGCCTCCAAACTAACTGCGCCGTGACCCACCCTCCCCCCATCTCTGGGTCAAACGTGGAATTTTCTCATTCAAAATAGGCCTCTGGACGACTTTTCAAGAGATGGTCAGGTTTGAAATCATTTTGGCGCATTTTACGACCGAAAAACGTAGTTCCGCGAATCGGCCTATTTTCTCCCCATTTAAACCAATGTAATGCAATTGCTGCTAAAAGCGCGTTAGTGCGACCTCTAAATATTCGAATTTTAAGCTGAAATTTTTTTTGGGACGTTTTTGAATGATTTCGACCCGATTGGTGATGAGGCACCGTAACATTTCAAAAGTCACAAAATAAGCCGCACCCTAACGTTCCTAGGTCAAAGGGAGCTACTTTTTGACCCCCTCCCCCCTAAAATTTTCAGGGAGCTCCCTCGGGGAGGGGGGTAACGGACCCCAACTTTTTATTTTCAAATGGAAAGACCCATCTTGTGATACCTCGTTCAAAAGAGCATAAAAAAATAAAACTTTTCGCGCAAACCCGAAGCCAATATCTCAAACCGTTTCAAAATGGCGGCCGGTTATAGGTGAAGATGGTCGAAAATTGACACCTCGGTTTTTTGTCGATGGATTTGCCTGAAACTCGATGAGGGGGGGGTATCTTAACAGGAGAAAAACTAATCTGACGTTAGATTTTCAAAAAAACCAAAATTGTCAAAATTACGGCTGGTTTCAACCAGCCGCAATTTCGGCCAAAACAATTTTAACTTTGTTAATCTCATGCCAAAATACCCCTAGATTCCAAGTTGCAGACAAATAACCGAGATGCCAATTTTCGGCCATGTTGAACTTTAACCGGCTGTCATTTTAAAATTGTTGGTTATTTTGAAAATCTAACGTCAGAATCGTTTTTCTCCCGTTAAAATACCTCTCAGCATCAAGATTCAGGCAAATCCATCGAAAAAAAACCTAGGTGTCAATTTTCGGCCATCTTCACCTTTAACCGGCCGCCATTTTGAAACGGTTTGAGTTATTGACTTCGGGTTTGCGCGAAAAGTTTTATTTTTTTATGCTCTTTTGAACGAGATATCACAAGATGGGTCTTCCTTTTTGAAAATAAAAAGCTGGGGTCCGTTACCCCCCCCCCCCCCCCCCCCCCCCC